AGAAGACCCCCTGCTCTAGGGAGTTGGGGAGAGGTGTAGGGGGGCCACATGCTAGCAGCCTAGCTGGCTGAGGCCTTTCAAGCCATGACAGGTTTCTGTGTGCCAGGCCTCCCAAGGCTTCCTCCACCCTGAGGTACACCCCTGCACAACCACATCTGGGAGAATTGGAGCTGCAGTTGTTAAGTGAGGCTGCCCCATGAGTGTCTCGCTTAATGATCACAACGATTTATGACCAAAATTCCAAGCTTAACTACCTGTGCTAGGATTATGTTTAGGAAGGAAATAAAAGAGGTAAAGCTTTAACACACTGGCTGCATTTGAAGAGTTGTACAGGGTGTTAACTGGTTCAGAGGCATATCTTGAACAGATAACTAGACCTCTAGCTTTAATCTGGCAGCAACAAATATGGATGAATGTGGAAGCTTGTCAGCTGTAGTGTGAAAACAAAGGAATCTGCTGCTGTGTGAATGAAGTGCTGCTAATTTGATTTCAGTTCAGCCTAATACCCATGTGATTTTTGTCCTGGGGGGGGGGGGGAAGTGAATCCTATTATTAGGCTATGCTTTTTTTCTGTGTGGAACAACTCCTTATCCTCCTGTCCAAATGTCATGTTTCTCCTTCCTCCTCCATTGTAAACAAGTTTTTGGATTCAGAATTACTGTCTTAAAAAAATACCAGTTTTCTTTTTTTTTTTTTTGCTTTATGTTGAATAAACATTTTGCTTTTCTCTCAGCATCAAACTTCCTTGCTAATTGCTCCATTCTGCAAGGGTGGATAGGCATGATTTAAAGAAAACTGAGGAATGAATTACTTCAATATTTGGTTTAGTTCTTTCTTTGGCCCCAAATTATATGGTTTCATTCCTGCAAGTGAGCAATGTTAGTGAAAAGCAAACATTCAAGTATGATTTTGAGTAATCTACTTATTTGAAACATGAGAGAAACTTGATATGTTTTAATTTCTGGACCACTCGTACAAAACAGCAATAATGTATACAGTTATGTGGTATTTTTTTAATAAGTATTTCCAGCCAATTCGGGTTTTTAAAGATGACTGTATAAATGAAATATTTATTGTTCAGGAAGAAAAAAAAATCATGTAAAGCCTTTGGAAAATGAAAGGTCTGTGCCTAACGCTGAAAAACATATTGGATAGATCCTGGCTTTAGAATGCCGATCTAATTCAGCATTCTTTTCCCACAGTGGCCAAATTGATGTTTCATAACAGGAAATAAATATAACAACATCATCTCATATGTTGTTCTAGTAACAGTAGTGAGGGGAAGATATCTCTGTGAATGATGGTGTAAAATGTAATCTAAAGTTGCTATTATCACAGATTCTTAGTGCACTGTGAGACAAGTTTAGTGTAGGATCATAATTGCACAGGTAGTCCTTGGTTTACAACATTTGATTTAATGGCCGTTTGAGGTTACAGTAGCATTGAAAAAAGTGACTTATGACCATTTTTTACACGACCGTTGTAGCATCCCCACGATCACATGATCAAACTGGCTCATATTTATGATTGTTGCAATGTCCCGGGATCATATGATCATCTCTTGCGACATTCTTTTTTTTTTTTTTTTTTAGAAGAAATTTTATTGTTTTTTTGGTTTTTAAAACAAAGTGCTCAAGACACACTGTGGTGTTAGGGTAGTCAAACATCGAAAGACAAAACATATATACATAATTCAATCAATACATCTAGTATTCCCTCTTTTTCCCTTAGGTAACATAATTTATTTAAAATAGTCCAATTCTAGCTTAAATTTATTCAACCTGTACCTGTTTTTAAAGCTTTAGAAATTTACACTACCATAATCAAATTAACTTTAAGTACAAACATTATCAATTCGGGTATCCCTTCCAAATATATTCTAGTTCCTTAATTTTATCATAAATCTTATTTAATTCTTCTTCCACTAATATCCCTTAATTAAAATAAAATATTAATCTATCCTATACATATCTAATCCATCAATTAATCTCTTTAAGCTGACAGAAGAAAATCAGACCTTGTCATTTCAATCCATTAAACAGAATTCAAATTACATCCAGTTAATTGTCATAGCTAATAACATCTGTGTTATCAAACAAATAAATCATCTTATTAGATTAACTCAACATTACATAATAATTTTCTTACAAGTAACCCTATCATCCTAAAAAAGAAAAAAGAACACACTCTTAATCAATTTAATATATATTCCATTAATCACTCCTTTTTCTCTTACTTCTAACTCACAATCTTAGTCCTTAAATCAACCCATAATTCTAGATTACCTTTAATCCATTACCTAAAAATATCTCCTTTTTAAGCTAAAATATTGATCTATCCTAGACATATCTAATCCATCAGTCAATCTCTTTAAGCTGACAAGATAGTATCAAACCTTAAATTATTTCAACTTATTGAGCATCAAACAAATAAATCATCTTGTTAGAAATAGTAATTTTCATATAGATAAACCTTATATATCTTCCATTAGTCGCCCATTTCTCTTACATCTAACTCATAATCTTAGTCCTTAAATCAATCCATAGTTCTAGGTTGCCTTTAGTCCATTACATAAAACTTTAACTTTCATTTTTTTTCAGTCTTATTTTGGGTTTCTTCTTATGCCAAGTAGGTTTCCATAGCAGAGTTTCCCTTCCAGCTGATAAGTCTCTCTTTACTGCTTGTAGTATCATTGGGATCAGTAAAAACCATCTGGCCTGCATTGGCCCTCTGATTCTCTTAACCATAAAGTCTCGTTGCTTTAACCTTTAAAGTCTCAGTCTTTGCTTTTTCTGGTCCTCAGCACCATAAGTGAATTGCTTATAAGGCAAGATCAATTTCTATTTATTCTCAGTTAAGTCCTCTTCTTGTGTAGTCTGTTTTATAGAAGGATCAGATGTAGTCTGAAAGTCAATTTTGAAGTTTGAGGGAGAGATTCTGGCTCTTAATTCTGTATTAAACTCTTTCATTGTAGCACATATTTCTTCTTTAGCCTCATAGATCTTTTCCAGAATAAGTTTACAATTTAAATGTGAGTGCAACTCCATTTTAAAAATTGTTCAGCTGCATCAAATTATCTTTCTCTTGAAGAACAGTTTGAAGACCAAAACCATCTCCTCCCCAAATAGACAACAATTACAATATTAGCTTTTAACCAGTAGATGTCCTCAGTGAGCTAAGAAATCTTTTTCAAAAGTCTTTTTTTTTTCTTTACCTTTTTTCTATTTTTTTCAGGAAAAGATGGAGGAAGAAATACTCAAAAAAAGCACAACAGCATAGACTAATAGTAGAATTCTTAGGAAAAAAATTTTCCAGTACCCCAAAACATACATACATACATACATACATACATATAATGTAGTCTTTAAAGTTTTGTTCTATTCTTTTGTTCGCCTTTCTTCCCAAACATGTAGAAGCTGCTTTTCCAAGCCAGGGAAATAATTCCAACGGGGCTGTTACAGGCAAAAAAAAGCAAAATAGCATAATGAGAGGAAAAAAAAAAAAAAGATCTCACCCGGATTCACCACGGTGGGCTTTCAAGCTTAGCTGTTCTTTGATTTGCGGTTTCTAGCGGCTGAGTGATCGGCCATTTTACTGGCTGATCTTCTCCGTCGGCCCTCAGAGTTGGCTTGGACAGCTGGAAGAGCTGCTGCTCCTCCACAGCTGAGCGAAGCTTCTTCGACAGAAGTCACACCTTCCAGAGCAACTTTAGACCCGCATAAGGGTCTACCAGCGGAGGGAGGCTAGCCGACGAGGAGACGAGTCTCTTCGTGCGACTAGGAGCGCCGCAGCCCGGAACCACACCTCTTGCGACATTCTGATGAGCAAAGTCAGAGAGGAAGCTAGATTCACATAACAACTGTATTATTAACTTAACAATTGCAGTGTTTCACTTAATAAGTGTAGCAAGAAAGGTCATAAAATGGGGCAAAATTCACTTAACAAACGTCCCACTTAGCAACAAAAATGTTGGGTAGTCGTAAGTCAAGGACTACCTTTAGTCACTTAATGTATACTCTCAAAATATGGCTTAAAAATAGATCACATTTTATCAGCATAAGTGTTGGATAACCTTCTTGGAGGGAACATTAAACAGGATACCCAGGAGGCCCTGTCACTCGGCCACAATTAGCCCCACCTCCTGGATGGGGGAGGACACATGGAAGAGAAATAAGTTTCTTCCATTACTCTTTGGATTAGAAAAAATGGGAAATTAATAATATTAATAAAGTTGGAAGGGACATTGGAGGTCATCTAGTCCAACCCCCTGCTCAGGCAGGAAACCCTACACCATTTCAGACAAATGACTGTCCAGTCTCTTCTTAAAAACTTCCAGTGTTGGAGCATTTACTGCTTCTGGAGGCAGGTTGTTCCACAGGTTAATTGTTCTCACTGTCAGGAAGTTTCTCCATAGTTCTAGGTTGCTTCTCTCCTTGATTAGTTTCCACCCGTTGCTTCTTGTCCTGCCTTCAGGCGCTTTGGAGAATAGCTTGACTCCCTCTTCTTTGGGGCAGCCCCTGAGATATTGGAACACTGCAGTCATGTCCCCCCTCATCCTTCTCTTCATTAAACTAGACATACGCAATTCCAGCAAATTGTCATTTGATAAATTTTCCTTCGCAGGAGTTATCTCAGTTCCAAAGCAACAATACAATGTGATGGAGAGGGAGGCAAGAGGCAGCCTTTAATATTGGTCAACAAGTGCTAAGAACTTGGACCACTCGGTAGCCAGGTCCGTATAAGTTCTTAAAAAATACTAACTTGCGCTGATGACGTTACCTAGTTTGGTAATGAAGCATCTGCAAGAAAAGCTCAGAGAGCGCCAAGGGACCCCTCAGTTCAACCCTGAGCTACAAATATTTTCTCCTATCAAAACTAAACTCGCATTTTGAAAAGTGATAGCATAGCTCAAAACATGTAGCCAAAAGAGACATTGATGTAAGGATGGTGTGGAAAAAATTGGTGAGCTCAAATACTAACACTTAAGTCTTTCTTCAAAGTGCGCTCATTTGGAACCGAAGATCGTCCCACGGATCGTCCTGCTCCTCCAAGAGAGGAAGTTTATGAATATATCATATTCCGAGGGAGTGACATTAAAGACATCACTGTATGTGAGCCTCCAAAAGCACAGCATAATCTGCCCCAAGATCCTGCTATTGTCCAAGTAAGTAATTCCATCTGGAATGGATAAAAGTTTTTTTGGCAATGTCGAACAGTAAAAAATACCATTAGTAGGCATATAAATTCAACTGGGCCTACTGATCAATTCTAATTCAGTAAGAATGACTATAGCAGGGTAGGCAACCTTGGCTCTTTTATGACTCGTGGACTTCAACTCCCAGAATTCCTGAGCCAGCCATGCTGAGGGAAAAGGGAGAGGTTTCCAAGCTGAGCCATGCCGGCTCAGGAATTCTGGGAGTTGAAGTCCACGAGTCATAAAAGAGCCAAGGTTGCCTACCCCTGGACTATAGTATTGGTTGTTATGTTGTCTAAGATTAAATTTGTATCATATCTTTCTGTTAAACATAGTGCTCAAGGAAAAGAACAATAAAATTGCAAGTAAAGTAGAGAATGAAAACATGAATACAAACAGCTTAACCACAGTAGTATATTAGTAATCTTATTAAAACCTGTTTATCTTCTCTGGCACAGTGATAACAGAAGTGAAACTAGTTGTTATTCCAAAACTCTAGAGTGTGACTAGGAAGATTATAGCAATAGCACTAGACTTACATATACCCATTCCACAGTGCTTTATAGCCCTCTCTAAGTAGTTTACAGAGTCAGCATATTGCCCCCAACAATCTGGGTCCTCATTTTACCGACTTGGGAAGGATAGAAGGCTGATTATCTCACATATTTCCACCAAGGATGTCCTCAGTTGTGACGGTATAAATGCGGTCCTCTCCCAATGAATTTACAACTCAGACAGATCCTAATGGAGAAATATTTTAGATGGCCGGACTAGAACAGGTTAGTGAATCATTTGTAACATGGAAATCAGTTGATCCCTATAATTGGCTAATGTTAGTCTTTGGCTGGCATTTCTGAACGCATTTGTAAAATCGCCCTTGGTCAAGATGTTGCTTAGAAAACCTGATATAACCAGGACATATTTCAACACAGCGATTTCTGCAGATTGGTTAGTTCGACTCCTACTCTTAGTTATGCAAAAACAGTATTAGCCATTTCAAAAAATCTGAACATTCAGGTTTGAATGCAGATGTACAGTATATTGGGGTTTACTTGTTTCAGGAACATATAAATGAAAATAGGAAACAAATACATCCTGCGTTTTAAGGTTTTTTTAAATGTTTTGTCTGCTATTTGACTAAGTTGCTATTGTTTGTCACTATGTTATTAATTTCAGACACTATTTGGTTTACACACCATGATAAATCGGCTATAGTTAACAAACTGCAGTGGCTATTTAAATCTAAACATAATGACTATTTACGTACAGTGCTTATGAGGTCAACCTAAAACGTAGCAAACTGCATTTCCATAAGAATGCTACGCTTAGTTATTGTTCATCTTGGTTTCCTTTTTGCGGTTTAATCTGTTGTGACACCTAATCCATTTGATCAATGGTTTAGTGTATTGAAAGAAACCAGAAGATGGGTAAAATCGGTGCCCATGTTAAGTATGTTTTGTGAGTGCAGTCAACGTGAGATGTTAGCCATGTTTTAGGATGTACTCGTTTGCAAACATTGATAGTGAAATGGAAGTTAAGGTGAAATCCACCTGATCATAACGACAGTACTGATCCTAGACATATTTGGTTGAAATGTATTCGTGTTCAATTGAGTTTGTTACTTAAAATCTCACAACCACCTCTTCTTCTCTCTGGGAAAATTGTTGGATTAATAGTTAATGCCATGTGGACTTTTTCTGAGACCAAGGATTTGTTGCCTGGCTAGTGTGGTGGAACCACATACTTTTATAAAGAAGTGTTGTCCACTGTCTCTGGACGCTTGACCAGTGCACTCCTGTTCAGAAATTAGAATCTTGAACCCCAAAATGAAACACACTGAGGACTGGTGATTTAACAGATAAATAGTAATGGACACATCGGAAACTATAATCTTATAAATCCATCAATGGGCAATAAGTGTCCCTCCAAAAATAACATTATTAGCATTATATAGCATTGGGTTTTGAAGAGATGGTAGGACAGGAAGATCTACCCTGGTGGCTATGATTTGAGAAGACTAGAACAGCTGGCTTTTACTAAGACATTCAGGGTGCCTTCAAAGCAGTCTTGACTCCTGATAGTTGCCTAGATGAGTCCCTGTAGTTTTCTTGGTTTTGGGAAGTAATTTGCTATCGCCATCTCCTAGGATGAGAGTGAAGGACTGGCCTAGAACCTTCCAGATGACTTCCCACCTAAGTTAGAACTAGAATTCATGGTCTCCCAGTTTCTACCCTGGTGTCTTCACCACTCTTTATTAACACGATAATACATAATTCAGGTTAGAGTAGTTTGATTTTCATCTTCAACTTCATGTGGAGAATCGATCCTATTATACAACTGAATGACTCTTTCCTCACTTGATTGGTAAATTGATGGTTACAAGGATTCCCCCTCTTTTTTTTCTTGCAACACTGTTCTTTTCACAACATCAAGAGATCTATGTTATCCACCAGATATTAAAATTGCCTGCCAGCTTGACATTCAACATATTCAGCAGCCAGACCACTTTGTCTTCTTTAGGGCATAATATGTGTTAACTTTTGCGTTTTTTTTTTTAAAAAAAAGCATAGATTTAATGACGATGTTTGCACCGTCATCCATATTGTTTTCTTCATTTTGCTCATGGGAGCATAATTGTTTCACGTTCACTTTTTGCAGTCGTCTCTCAGCTCTGCGTCTGCGTCCTCTTTTCAACCTCATGTGCCTTACAGTCCTTTCAGAGGGATGTCATCCTACAATCAGCTTGCCGCCAATTCTTTAATTGGCCAGCAGTATGCAGCATCTCTTGGTTTAGGTGAGTAAACAAAGATCTGCCTGTCACGGAGATAGTCGGTCTCTGGGCTGCACCATTTAATGGTGGACTACATATCTTCAGAGAATATTCTTCTGAGGGAGAAATATATGTCAATGAATAAGGAAAGCATTATTTTTTTTAAAAAAAAAAATAATTTATTTCAAATCATTGTGGGAAATCATTTCATTTTGCAACTCTCTGATCTGAAGACATCCCACCCTGGCACAGACTGATGTGTAGGGTGAGAATTAGACTAAAGATGCATTGAATGTGGGCCATTTCTAAGTTGTTGAAAGCATAGCATCGCAAAAAAAAACAGTGTCTCCAGAAGCTAAGCTTGTCGCTTTATTAAAAACTTAACTGCTTACTGGTTTCAAACAAGGTTATTAAGTGAAGCTTGTTCAACTAATCCACGTTTAGACAGGCTACTCACTGTGTGGTATTTGTGAGTAAAATGCACAAAGTAATGAATATCAGCTGAACACTTCCCTAGGAATTCCTTCCTCTTTTCAGTGCATCTGAGTAGTTATTCTTTTAGGTTTTTCGTAGGGGTAGATCACTAAGGGCTGCATCAGCATTGCGGTTGTCCTTGGGGGGCTGGGTGAGTGTGGCCAGAGTGGCTGCAGCCTACTGGGTGGGCATAGATGGAGTGGGTGTGGCCTATTGGGTGGGCGTGACCAGTTCTACATCATTCGCGTCAAGAGTGCCTATGGAAACCTGGGCAGGAGTGGGACAGATCTGAGGGTCTCTGGCAGAAGGGGGTGGGACCGGGGCAAGTGCCAAGGCATGGTCCACCAGGGCAAGTGCCAAGATGGCCACCACAAAATTGTACATTGGCTCCCGGCTGGCCAGGGCCAAAGCATGGGGGGCCGTTCCCTCACTGTTTCCAGGATGGCTTCGCAGGCCACATGAAACCACTTCGCGGGCCGCATCTGGCCCCCGGGCCTTGTGTTTGACACGTCTGGGGTAGATGAACGTTGGACTCTGTTTTCTTCACGAACACTAACATACTTTTGGACACACAGTTTTCTCTTCATGTACAATTCTGAGCGGTGTGAAAATTTACTCACCTTTTCACAGTCGTTCAGGAAAAATAAAGTGTTCGCTGTTAAATTACAAAACATTTTTTTTTTGCCCATTTCTTCATTTCTGTCACTCTTATTTCCGCATAAAGTTAGCCTGTGACATGCAATGTACATCTGATGGTGGACGACTTAACCAGGATCTGTCTTGTTCCCTGGTCAAATTCTTCCGAGTTTCAGAACTTTTTAAGAAAATGTTAGCTGCTTAAACCTTCTCTCCTCAGTCATCTGGATGTCAGTACTGCCCTGTGTCTCACCAGTCTCCTCCTCTGCTTTTTCTTCTCCTCCCTTGTCTGTCTTTCTAGAGAAGCTGGTAAGCCCTCCAGCATCAGCAGCTGCTTCCAGTCCTAGCACTTCTTCATCTCCACAGCCAGTTTCAGAGCCTGACATGTCATCAGAGCCACATCTGCTGTCTTCTAAGGGTAACAGCAGCTTGAGGATTCCAAGTTTTAGAAGAATTGCATGGTGTTTGCAAAAGCTTTGTGTTTTTGTTTTGTTTTTTGTTTTGTTTTGTTTTTTAAAAACCCTTTCTTCTTCCCGAACAGAGTAACAGGTGCAAGAATTACTGCAGTATTGTTTCTGAAAGCCTTGGTGCACTTGCTTCTGCTTCAGGTATCAGATGGATAGATGAACAGGAACTCACTTCTAGCCGCTCATTTAACGTTCTGAGGTGAAAACCAGACTGAAGGAAGAGTGCAGGGTAGAGCCAGGGAAATTTGGGAACATAAACACACGGAGAATGAGCTGTTGCAGATTTTGAAGCCTTCCACTTTGCAAAAAGTGCAGCTGTCTGTGCAACTAAGAGAAGAGCAGGGTGGGTGGGTGGGAAATACAAATTAAAGCTGAGAGAAATTATTCCTACAATGTTTAGTATATTGGCAGGTGATAGGACATCCACAAAGCAATTCATTGTACCTGGACATGTCTTATGAATTCCTGACTGGCGTTGGAACGCAGTGGCTTACATTTGGTGAAACGGTTTCCCCAGACAAATTACGGCCTGGTGAATTTGGCATCCTGAATAGTTGATGGGCCTAGAGTAGGGGTAGGCAACCATGGCTCTTTTATGACTCGTGGACTTCAACTCCCAGAATTCCTGAGCCAGCATAACTGGCTCAGGAATTCTGGGAGTTGAAGTCCACGAGTCATAAAAGAGCCAAGGTTGCCTACCTCTGGCCTAGAGTTTCCTCTTGCTCGAATTTTGTGGCAAACGGGTGAGGCCAGGGCTCAGCAACGGTAGGTCATAGTTGGGAAGGAGAGGACAAGTAGCAGTCTCTTTGTTCGGTACTGAAGTAAGTAAGATTTTCCTCAGGGAGTTGATTCTTGTTTTCTTCAGGTGATTATATTATTTCTTCTATGTTTTCTAAGTGCATTTTTGTGCGTTTTCTTGAATGATGTTCAACACGGCTAATGCTTGGCAGGATGTGTGTGTGGCATTTCCTTCACACTTCCTCTTGAATTTTGGATTGTCTAAAGCAGAGGTCAAGAAAGAACTATTTGAAGTTGCAGATATCCTCAGAATCATATTTGGGGGAAGCTGTGTGAGTGGCTTTTAAGTAATAGAAGTTTTCTGGGTTTCTTGCAGTGGATATTCAGAAAGGGTACTGCTATTTTGTCAACTCGGCATCTTAGAAGTTATTTGCAGCTCTAGAATTTTTTTTCATCTTCAGGGCCATTTAAAAAAGGTTTCAAGAGGTTTTGACATAACAGAAGCATTGAACAAATATATCAATCAGAATAAAGCTGGAAGGGACCTTGGAAGTCTTCTAGTCCAACCCCCTGCTGAAGCAGGAGACCCTATACCAGGAGTAGGCAACCTTGGCTCTTTTATGACTTGTGGACTTCAACTCCCAGAATTCCTGAGCCAGCATGGCTCAGCTTGGAAACTTCTCCCTGTCCCCTCAGCATGGCTGGCTCAGGAATTCTGGGAGTTGAAGTCCATGAGTCATAAAAGAGCCAAGGTTGCCTACCCCTGCCCTGTACCATTTCAGATAAGTGGCTGTCCAGTCTCTTCTTAAAAACCTCCAGGGTTTTTTTTTACTGGTTTTTTTTATCGTGTTTAGTTTTTCAAGCCGTAACTTAATATGTGCCTGTAAGCATATACCTACACAAATCAGATTTCGTGGTTCAGATCTAATTTTCAATAATTTAGTTACGAAGTGGTTGGACTTCATCTTACTGTAGAAATGTGTATATCTCTGAACGATTGCCTACTGTGTAAGTTAGTTTCAAGTACAATTATGTTGTGTGTTTTTTTTTTTAAAAGTAGATATGTGGGACCCAGACAAGGTTTATGGATGATTCTACTTCATATATAATTTGTTTTCTTGCATATGATGTTTCAACCAGCACCACAGAAATGGAATATTTGATGGGAAAGAGGACATGACCGTGATCATAAATTATAAAGAAAGAGTTATATATTCAGTTAACTGAATTCTGCAGTTGAAGAGTTACAGGAATCCACGTATCTGCATGCTTTATTTGCCTTCCAAAACAGAAGCTTGATGTGTCCTTAGCAAGAACCTTGATCTTGCTGTGCTTTTATTTGTTTCACAGCTGTTTCATGCTGTTATCAGAGTTAAAATAGCTAGAAAAAATACTAAATATAAAATTTAAGACTTGTCAAGAGGACTTGTCAACTCAAGACAGATCAGGTCAAGAAACAATCTCTGAATTATTGTAGTTGCTTTTCTAAATCCTTTCTTACTGGTCTGTTCCTCCCACTCAAAGGCTTTCATAACTTACTGATGTCAGCTCCTAATTCTTTTACAGGCACATAGGCTGAAACCTTGTCTCTTTCCTCATGGAGGCTTCATTGAGTTTTATAACAAATTTCTCGCAGCTATTCTAAATTTGCATGTTTGAGTAGAGTGGCTTTCAAATGACTTTTTAATGGTATCTGTGCTAGAAACTATTTTTTCCAGATAAAGAAATCCATTGAAGTCTAAATGATTTTCTGAAACACACTGATTCTGGTAAAAGTTTGAATGTGTGCCCTCTCAGGAAAAGCTATGTTTTCCCTTGAACCAGATTATTATGGAATGTTTAGATTTGCTGCTTTTAACTTTACTGGAATGGGTAGGTCCGATCTGCTAGCACAGTGGTTCTCAACCTTTTTAATGCCGCGACCCCCAACCAGTCGTAAGTCGAGGATTACTCAACCGGTCATAAGTAGAGGACTACTCAACTGGTGCAGCACTGTTTGCAGAATGGGACTTTTGGCGGGCTCAGCAGGGCAGAGACAGCCTGGACAATTCCTATTGGCTTTTGAAAGCCAATAGAATTAGACTCTATTCAAGAGAGTCTATTCTATTGGCTTTCAAAAGCCAATAGAATAAAAGGGAGTAGCACAGCTAAGGAAAAGGGGGGGAAAATGGCAGACTGCGTTGTTTGGCGACCCCCGTGAAATGGTCGTTCGACCCCAAATGGGGTCCCGACCCACAGGTTGAGAACCACTGTGCTAGCAAATCCCTTAAGTCTGAAATTGGTATGCTTTTATATGGGTACCTTTGAGCATGGGTGGAACTTCGCTGCTAGTTGCCTGTGTGAAAGTTTTTGGTATGGTGAGGAATGCATGATTGTAATCACGTGATGATCAAGCAGCTACCCTTTGCAAATGTGGGGACATTTGTATGTCATTCTGAGCAATATTCCTTGTTTGGCTTTGGCTTAGCATGCTACACTTATCCAGCCAATTGTAACTTAGTCAAAAAAAAAAACAACACTTCAACTTCAGTGTGATGTGTGAACCAGATCGTTCAATTATGTCAATACTCACATCTCTGTGTGAAAGAGCTTAACTTTCAGACTTTCTTCCCAAAATTTCAAAGAGTGTGATTTTCATCTAAATCTGAGTACCTTGTCTGGTTTGGGATGAAATAGGCACAGCCAAATTTATTTATCCTGTTGAAATGCTGCTATTCGGACAATTGAATTTGTGCCTTGTAGCCTCCCCATCCGTGCGGTGTTCTTGATTAGCAGCTAATGCTTCCTAGAGTAAGCCTCTTTCACCAGAGAGGATTCTTTTTCAAATTCTTTCGGCAGGATTGAGGGGGAAGCCAAAATCTCTCTTGAGCACCAATCAAGTTTGGTCTGAACGAGTGTAGGGGTTACTGACGTTGCTTGGTTTCTCCCAGGTGCTGCTTTTCCATCTGTTCATTCAGTGCGCAAAAGTCCAATGGTGGAGCAGGCTGTTCAGACTGGCCCACTGGATAACAGCTTGAATCCCAAAAAGGCAGTCAAAGCTCCTCCAGCCATTCCACGCAACACCCGTCAGATTCAGCAGAATAACAAGACAAATGGTATTGAAATCTTTTCCTTCAGACAATATGCCAGTGTTTTAAATTAATAATAATTGGAGCTACCATCTGCTGTTGCCTTTCAGCATCTTGGCTATGTGGAGTGAACAGGTTTTCCTATTTTGTCTTAGATATAGTTGACCCACCACCTGTGCAAACGCAAGGGCAGGTGAATGATGAGAATAGAAGGCCCCAGAGGAGGAGATCAGGTATGTTACCTGATTGTAAATTGTCCAAAGTAATTGAATTTAATTCTTCAAAGCAACTGAATTGCCCTCTTTCTGCATTACTTCTGTAATGCAACCTTTCATAGAAGGATAAATATTAATTACTCCTAATTAATTCAGTATATTCCTGCTTTAGTTGAAGGCTAGAAGAGTTCAACGTCTCTGTGCATGAAAAACTGAAAGAATTACCACGAAAGGACATCTCTATAATCCACGAGGACCTGAAGTCTTGTGGAGTAATACGGCTTTGCTAGCATTAGCCCAGGAATCTGTGCTGCTCCAGGAGAAATGTTTCAAATCTAAGTCGAAATGTAAAATGAATTAGAATGCAAGAACGTGTTCCTTTAAAGTTCAGTAGAGTGGAAGTGAAGCAAAATAGTTCTAAATTAAATAGAATTATTTTTCACTATGTTGGAATACAGGTAGCCCTCAACGTACGACCAGAATTGAGCCCCAAATTTCCATTACCTAAGCAAGACAGTTGTTAAGTGAGTTTTGCCTCATTTTACGACCTTTCTTGCCACAGCTGTTAAGTGAATCACTGGGAGTTGTTAAGTTAGTAACACAGTTAAATGAAATTGGCTTCCCCATTGTGTCTTAAGGGCACAAAAGGTGATCACATGATCCCAAGACACTGCAACCTTCATAAATACATGCCAGTTGCCAAGCGGCCAAATTTTGATCATGTGACCATGGGGGGGTTGCTGCACCAGTTGTAAGCGTGAAAAACGGTCATAAGTCACTTTTTTCAGCACTGTTGTAACTTTGAATGATCACTAAAAGAAGGGTTTTAAGTCGAAGACTACCTGTATAACAAGATTCAGAAGCAAAATTTCTTGGAAGCTTCTGATTTGATGGATGCCTTCTGTTGAGTGTAAGGAGATCTCTTGTCAAATTCTAGGTATTCATGCCAGTCAAGCATTAACAGAATGGGAAGTACCAGATCAGCCAGCTTCCTGGCATCACTTCTGTGGCATTCAAATGATGTTGAAAAAACACAGCATTGTGCATTGCCTTAAGCAAGGAGCACGTGAGGTCAAGCCTTGCTTTGTTAAAATGAATTCTCGCTAGAAGATTGTAACATCTTCTGTTTAGGAAATAGAAGAACTAGGAATCGTTCTAGAGGACAGAATCGACCAGCTGCTGTGAAAGAGAATACAATAAAGTTTGAAGGTGACTTTGATTTTGAAAGCGCCAACGCGCAGTTCAACCGAGAAGAATTGGATAAAGAATTCAGGAAGAAACTTAATTTCAAGGGTTAGTATTTTGGCTGTTTCTTGTATCCCAATCCCCCCTCCTTGGTATGGGTGAAAGAAAACAGCCAGTAAGGGGTCTCTAAACTTGGCAACTTTAAGACTTGTGGACGTCAATCCCTAGAATTCCTCAGCCAGCACATGTAGACTTCAACTCTCAGAATTCATCAGCCAGCCATGCTGGCTGAAGGATTCTGGGAGCTGAAGTCCACACGTCTTAAAATTGCTGAGTTTGGAGACCCCTGATCTAGTACCGATATAGCTTGTTATATATATGCACATTTTAAAATAATTATTTCTCCCCCTAACCCTTATCAGATGATAAAGTTGACACCAGTGAAGAAAAGGGAGAGCCTACTATGGCTGCTGAAAACTGTGATGGCAATCCAGATGAAGATCTACTGGGACCCAACTGCTATTACGACAAAACAAAATCTTTCTTCGATAACATCTCATCAGAACTGAAGTCTAGGTAACCCTAACTCTGGCAGCTTTATTTTATCTCTTCCACGCTAATTCTTTAGTTTAATGTTTTTGCCTGGTATCCCTCTTCTATACCCCAATATTGAGCAGAAATTTGCTTTTCAACAAATGAATCTCCTTCAAACGGCAGTCCCTGGTCCTTTTTCACTTGCAAATGAATGCCTTTCTCAGTTTTGTACTATATTGTAGATTTTACCCACAGCCCTTACCAGATTATTGAAGCCATACTTGAAAAGCCCTAATTAAGATTTTAATGAGAGAGGGAAGCAGACAAAAGAAGTCAAATGTATATAACATATTCTTGGCAGGAGGTAACCCACAAATACTGCTGCTTGGTTACTGAATCTTTTATCCCTAATTCATCCTTCTGAAATTACTTCATCTACATGTTTTGGAAAATTCAGCCACAACAATACAATTTGAAAAATTACAATCATAAAGCACATTTTTAATAAGTCATTTTGTGACATTCTTTGTGTGGGAAATGATGCAATGGCTTTAGCCTTGCTCCTTGCTTGAGACAAGAGTTTTACAACAGGAAGTTAAAAGAGAACTTGACTGTAGTAACAAGAGTGCTGGTTCCTTTTGGTTTTTAGTTCACGGCGTACAACATGGGCTGAAGAGCGGAAGCTGAACACAGAGACTTTTGGTGTTTCTGGACGATTTCTCCGTGGCCGCAGTTTTCGGGGGGGATTCCGTGGTGGAAGGGGGTCTGGAGCCGGGCGGCGAAATCAGGCTACTCCCAGAGTTGGTACTGGAAGAGTTTGAATTCTGCAGGTAAGTTACAGAATTAAAGTATTTTAGGTTCAGCTTTCTTAGAACAGCTGGGATGAATAAAGAGAATTAAATTCTTTGCTTATAATAAGTCTGTTCCTCAAAGCTAACTAATTAGACTCTTTGGGGGGATATTTAAAGTAGTGAAATAGTTGCTTTTACCGTAATCCAAGCTGTTCTCACAGGGAGAATTTTTCAAGGACTTCGTAATCCTCAATTTATGACCGTACTAGAACCTGCCCGTTACGGTTATAAATTTTTGATCATTGTAAAGTGGATCGCCTACGTGGCCGACCCCCGATTTCACGACCTTTTTTGTATTGGTCATTAAGTGAATATGTGATTATTAAGCAAAGGCCACCATCATCAAGTTGCTTAAGATGGGACATTTTATGCCAAAAGTAAATGCCAGGTTTTGGTGGTGATGTCATCAGTCATGGTTGCATGACTGGGAGGCTGCCAACGGTCAGAAATGTGGGCCAATTGCCAGGCACCCAAAATGCAATCACATGACCTGGAGTGGACACTGAATCTTCAGAAAGAGATCTTATTTGCAATTTCAGACAGTCACTAAGTTGAGGACTAGCTGTACATAATTAACCTTTAGGATTTAAAATACTTTCAATGTACTTGTAAGGTGATATCAATCAATCAATCAGAATATAGCTGGAACGGACTTTGGAGGTCTTCTAGTCCAACCCCATGTTCAAGCAGAAGACCATTGATGGCGAACCTTTTAGAGACCGAGTGCCCAAACTGCAACCCAAAACCCACTTATGTATCGTTGAGTGCCGGGTGGGTGTGGCCGGTTTGGTGGGTGTGGCCGCCGTGGTGATAGCAGGCTGGGTGGGACTAAAAAGCTCAATCAGTTCCAACTTTGCGAGATCTTTTTTTCCCCGGGAGAAGTTGAAATTGATTGATTGAACTTTTTTTTGCACACAGCGGCGGAGGCCTAAAGTGAAAAGGTTTTATAAAACCTAGCTGAAGGCCTAGGACTGGGGCGACAGTGCACATGCCCACAGAGAGGGCTCTGAGTGCCACCTGTGGCATGTGTGCCATTGGTTTGCCACCATGGCCCTATACCAGTGTTGCTGTGGAATGCTGGCTCTGGAATTCTGGGAGTTGAAGTCCACATGCCTTAAAATTGTCAAGGTTGAGAAACACTGCCCTATACCATTTCAGACAAGTCTGGAAATCGTAAACACCCAATGCCCTCAAATTCTCCTGTTCTTACTTGGAAAAAGGTTAACGATGTCTCCTATGCCTCTACCCCTTTCTTATTCATTTGAAGTAAATGAGCTTCCAGCAGTCTAAGACAAATAGATAAAAGAGTCAACTTTGCAGTGAGATTGGCAGCGAACAAATTTAATAAATTTGTTGGATATTTGAAAAAAAAAAAAACCATGTCTCTCGTTTTATTTTAGAGCTTTCAACCACACTGCTACGAAAAATCATGTACATAGGAAGGAGGGAACAATACAAACTGCTGCACTTAAAAGAATGGGTGAATGAAACTTTTACCTTCACAAGCCTGAAATTCGGATGGGATTATTGTTAGTCTATCACAGCAGATGGGAGCACTGGGATTACTTCAACGGGAGTGTGCTCAGGATCCACCGATTCAAGTTCTCTCCCCCCCCCAATTTTTCTCTTTTTGCGGGTGAGGGTCTTTTGCAAGTAGTGCAAGGAACCTGTGCTGCTTCTCAGTTCTAGCCGCTGTTGTAGTTGAACACAGGGAGCGCTTGTCTATTTCTAAAGAAAGGGATGCAATTCTGAACTGTTCAAAAAAAAAAAAAAAAATGAAACCAGCGACGAGCGGACAGTCTGCTGGTGTCCTTCTGACTTCTGTGCTTTTCTTTTCACCTTCCTCGTCCTCCCCCCTCCCCCTCCCCTTTGGAGCAGATTGTTTTGATGTCTAGAAACCAATTCTAGTGCAAAAAATGTTGTGTGTGATGTAGTGATGGGATTTGTTGCTGACCATGTATCTGTACATTCTGACTTGCCACTTGAGAAATCTTTTCTCTGGAGAGTTACACACTGCAGAGTTGCTTGGAGTGCTGGTCACCCCTCTCGGAGGAATTAGTATCTCCCAACGGATCCGGGAATAACGCCATTGTCGATTTTCTAATGATGAGCCGTTCTACGCCACTGCGTGTTTTCTGTAGGCGGAGAAAGCTAAAACTCACACCATGCCCTTTCAGCAAAATTTCAGCAAAGTTCCAAGCTTCATGTTGTCTCAAAACCCGAGGTGCAACTTGTAAACGAAGCTTGGGCATTCAGTAAATTCAGCTGCTCTTATCATTCCCCCAACTTTATAAATAGTTCATTTTTTTTGTGTTTTTAAAATAGTTGTGGAGGATATGAGCACACAGGGATTATACACTTGCATGGAAATGGGTCAAGCCTTTAGTAATAGGTTTGTGCTACTTTTGTTATCTTGTAGAAATATTTTGTTGAAAGGCTTCCATAGCGGAGGCCACGTCTCCTCCCTGCCTCCCCCATTTCCATGGCTCCCCTAGGTCTTGCGTTAAGTTGGTGTAAAGCTTTAGTTTCTTTTGTAGGCCTTTCATCGCACAGAGTGACACGTTGTGGTGAGGTCGCATTATGGAGTCATGTAAATTGTAATTATAAATAAACATGTAAATGTTTAACTGTTCTCAGCTTTTTGGTTTTTTTAAAAAAGTTTTCAATCAAAAAGGGATTAGACAACTTGCAAATCAGGATGATGCTGTATTTAGGATGCCCAGAATTAGATACACGGTTTCTCAAGTGAAGAAAAAACACACACCCACATTTTCTGCTTACTTCAAAAGCACTTTCATACAAGTAACATGTTAACTCCATGTCATTTAGCTTGTTTATTGCTGAAGTTTCAACATTCTCCAGCACAGGAGATGGAGAATCCACCAATGGGTTTTTTCTGTCTGCCTGCTCTTGAGACCAAGTTAGCCAAACTTGACACACCCCCTGTTGCTAGGAGATACCAGTCTTACTTGGTCTCAAGCTCTTGAAGACATGTCAGGTTTGGCTCTCAGAAATCAGAAATTATATTTAGCAGGTTAGAGATCCACGACGGCCAATATAGGGTCCGATCAGTTCCCTCAGTCACAAACCACGTCTGATTCGAGCCCGAATCTGGTGTTCTTCAAAACTGGCAGCCCAGCACCATGTCCCTTGCCCTTCCATCTTCCTTAAGGGAGTTAAGAAGCAATGGGTGTCCCCATCTTTTTTCCCCTCCATGGGAGGCACAGACAAAAAGTTATTTAATACTTCTCCAGACCTGACTGATGCTCTGGAGGTGCCAAAAGTGGGTGATGCCTAGACCTCTCTGGTGTCTTCGACCGCGGTCTCAGGGGACATGGCTGAGGCACTTAAGGCAGAAGACAGAAAACGGGACTTGACCTTCCGCAAGACCCATCAGGCAGCCGCGTGGGCAATTAAAACAGCCACATGCACGTCTTCCTTTGCCAGGACCACCCTCCTATGGCTCTGTCAGCTTCAGGCCAGGCTTCCTCCCGAGGACATACGGACCCATCAGGACCTAAGCAAAATGGTTGCAGCAACAGGTATGCGTCAGATGCAACCCTACAGTCGGCCAACTTTGCCTCCAGATCCATAGCTTCCAATATCACGGCCAGAACGATGCAATGGCTCAAGCACTGGCAGGCAGACACCAAATCAAAATGGCGTCTGGCTATGGCCCTCTACCAGGGCGATCATCTGTTCGAGGAGGCCCTGAATCCCTTCCTCGTAGACAACAAGGACAAATGGAAGGTCATGGCCCACCTCTCCAAGAGGTCCAATAGACGCACCACTCCTTACAGACGTAGGCAGTCCTTTCAGCCAGCAACGGGTGCAGAAGCAGCCCAACCTTCACGCCCAGACACGACCGTCCATATGACAGGTCACGTTTTAGACCCAGACAACAAAATCAGGGCAGGAGGCCATTTCAAGGGGGCGGTCGTCCCTTCAGGAGGTCCAAGTGACTCCCGGACCAACCCTCCCATAGGTGGTAGGCTATCCCTTTTCTTCCGTCAGTGGGAGCTCAATGGGTCCTACAAACTATTCAATTCAGCCTGTCCCTTGAATTTGTGTCCAGTTCCTTGGTTCATTTCATCTCCTGTCCCACACCCCGAGACTCAGCCAAACAGGGTCTCATGCAGGAGGCCATTCGCCATCTTCTGGACATACAGGCCATAGAACCGGTACCGCCAGATCAGAAGGGAAGGGGATTCTACTCCATCCTCTTTGTGGTTCCCAAAACCTCGGGGATGGAGGGCAATACTAGACCTCAAAGGTCTGAATTTCCACATTGTATACAAAAAATTCAAGATGCAATCGCTCCAGTCCATCTTAGGGGGCATCAGAAAAGGAGACTTCCTGATGTCTATAGACCTCACGGAAGCATATCTCCACATCCCCATCCTTCCGGACCACCGGCAGTACCTCCGGTTCTGCTACAGGGGCCGCCACTTCCAATACAGGGCCCTCCCGTTTGGTCTGTCCTCGGCTCCCAGGGTGTTCACCAAAATCCTAGCTGTGCTGGCTGCTCATTTACGGAAGGTACCGGTACGCATCCAGTGCTACCTGGACGACATCCTTATCCAATCATCCTCCTTCAGGGCGGCTCAGTTGGACCTGAACTTAACCATCCAGGTCCTACAACAGCACGGGTTTTTGGTGAACTTCCTAAAGAGCCAGATGGTTCCCTCATCCAGATTTCTGCACCTGGGAGCCATCATATATACCACAGATTGCATGGTCTATCTCTCCCAGGAGCATCTGGACAGCATCAGGGGCCTAGCTCGCCAAGTGTACAGGGACCACACCGTCCCACTGGTCTTGCTTTCTCAACTCCTAGGGAAAATGGTCTCCTGCATAGCCATAGTTCCCTGGGCCAGACTACATCTACGGGGCCTTCAGTGGTTCCTGCTTCCGTTCTAGCGGTTGAACGTTAGCTCATCCAGCCGACAGGTGAGGCTCCCGGTCCATACCCTGATGTCCCTTCGCTGGTGGTTCTCATAAGCGATTATCAGGGGGTCGCTGTTCAAGGAACCCGACTGTCTCACGATCATGATGGACACCAGTCTGCTTGGTTGGGGGGGCTCACCTACAGTCTCAGTTTGTGCAGGGCCGTTGGTCCCGCGCAGATTTGAGACACAACATCAACTGGCTGGAACTCAGGCCATTCACCTAGCCCTATGCCACTTCCACAACCAGATCAGCCCACATGAACCGGCAGGGGGGAACCCGGTCCAGGTCCCTCATATCCGAGGCCCAATTGCTGGGCTCCTGGGCAGAGTCCAACCTGTCCTCCCTCAGGGCCGAACGCATCCTGAGGGAGAAGAACCAGCAGGCAGACTTTCTGAGTCGCTCCACAGTAAATCCCTCGGATTTACTGTGGATCTTTTCACTGAGATGTCCCGAAGGTTCGGCCGACTGGTCCTCGACCTATTCACGTCGAGCAATGCCCAGCTCCCAAGATACTTCTCCCGCTATTACTCCCCAGGGGCGGAGGGGACGGATGCCTTACAAATCCCGTGGCCGGAGGGCCTACTCTATGCCTTTCCTCCCCTCCCGTTGATTCCAGCGACCATCCACAAGCTGATACAGGAGCAAACAGAGGTGATCCTCGTGGCCCCTTACTGGCCTCAGAGATCCTGGTTCAGACCTGGTGAATCTCTCCCACTCTTCCCCATGGAGGATTCCCTCGGATCACGTGTCCTGCACCAGGGGTCCTACAGCATCCGGACCCTCAGTGGTTACAGTTAGCCGCCTGGCACTTGAGTGCAAAATCATGACTCAGGAGTCGTTCTCACCAAAGGCGATTTCCATGATTCAGGCCTCTTGCAGGCCGGTGACCAATCACATTTATGACGCTACATGGAAGAATTTTTGCAATTGGTGTGCAGGGTGGCAACTGGACATTTCAAAATTGACAATCCCTCAGATTGTTGACTACCTTCTTGATGGCCTAGATAGGGGCCCTGCGACCATCCATAGACAGGTGGCAGCCCTATCCACCCTACTCACCTGCACCAACTCGATTCCTCTGGCCCATCATCCTAGAATACGTGCCTTTATCAACAACAAGCCGCCCGTGGTACACAGGTACCCATCTTGGGAGTTGCCCCGAGTTCTACGTGCACTCACTCGACCGCCTTTTGAGCCGGTCACTACTATAGCTTTGAGGTCTTTATCCCACAAGCTCGCCTTCCTGATCGCTATCACGTCAACCAGGCGCATTTCTGAGCTGGTGGCTCTATCGATCAGAAATGATCTTTGCATCTTCCACTGGGACCGGGTGGTTCTTCGGCTGGATCCCACATTCGTGCCCAAGGTCAATTTGCTCTTCCACAGAGCTCAAGAAATTATTTTGCCAGATTTCTGTCCTAATCCTTCCCATGACTTGGAGCGGCAGTGGCACAAACTGGACGTCCGCAGGATGCTACGATGATACATCAAGCGCACAGCGTCTTTTCGCAGGTCAGAGACCCTCTTCGTCTCCTTCTTCCTGTCTTCTGTGGGGCAGAAGGTGTGTTTCCACCATAGGTAGGTGGATCAGGGCTTGTGTCGTGGAGGCGTATCAGTCTTCTTCACTGTCAGCTCCAAGTCATATCACAGATCACTCCACTCGCAGTGCTGCGACCTCTGCAGCATGGGCCACTCAGGCATCCATTGAGATTTGCAGGGCTGCAACATGGTCTTCTCCCTCCCCATTTGTACACCATTATAAAATTGACTGCTTTGCTTCAGCGGACACCTCTTTTGATAGGAGGGTCCTTCAGCAGGTGGTTTCCGGGGATGTGGAGCCGGCCTCGTCTGTTTCCCACTCACTGGGACAATGAGGCTTTGGTATGTCCCATTGGTAGATTCTCCATCTCTTGTGCTGGAGAACGCCTTTTCTCAGCACGGAGATGGAGAATCCACACCCACCCTTAAGGTCAGTTAGGCCGGTATTAGGGGTTTGAGAGCCAACACCTCATCCTAGCATCAGCCACTTTCGCCCTCAAGACTGGGATCTCCTAGCAACAGAGGGTGTGTCAAGTTTGGCTAACTTGGTCTCAAGAGCAGGCACACAGAGAAAACCCATTGGTGGATTCTCCATCTCCGTGCTGAGAAAAGGCGTTCAGGTAAGACAACGCCCCTTTTCTCCTGGGAGCCTAGTGACTTGCTCCTTAATCTCTATTTTAAAACGTAAATACTTCTGTCTAGATAAGAGATGCAATAGCAGAGCAATAGCCTCTTGCATAATATTGCTTAACACCTACCAATTTGAGCTTTAGAAATTAATAGGCTGCCCTGATAAAGCAATACTTGGGAGGTTTATAATGTTAGAACACATTTTTCTTGAATCTGGTAATTGGCAGTTCAAGTATTAATACTGATAAAAATCCATTAGAAACACACCCTTTACAACTACTTGCTCTGAAAGTAACACTGGTGTTAATGAAAGCATCCTGCTATCACTTCAGAAGTCAAGTTTCTTCAGTTTTTAAATCAGAAGAATAGAATAAATCATGTGGAACATCTATACTGATCTTGGAAATTATTTTTCCATTCATTACTATAGCTGATTCTTTGAATTTGATCCTTGTGAATCAAAGGCTCACAAGTATTCCCCAGCACATGCCACAGGGATAATAGCTATATTCTTCCAGCGTTCAGATCTGTCCTGTGAACCTTGACTTAGCTCTGATCTAATTTTCTACCTTATTTTCTCTGGACTGCAAAATCAGAAGGGACAGTTATTCAAGGAAGAGAGATTTTTTAAAAAAATCTTTACTGTAATGCTTATTTGCTCTAAGCTACACAAAACCTTCTTCTAATGATTCAACTTAATAGCCACTATTTTCCAATTGTTCTATATGGAAATACTTTTCAACAGATTGCATCCTTCTCCCACAAAATACACTATTTGGTATGCGTTTGCCAACTATTTGAAGTTTTGGATTGTTTAACTTCTGTGACTTGATGATTGCCTGGAACTGACAAAAGAACAAAACCAGATTAGCTTGTAAGAAAAGTGCTCAACACCAATATATTTTTTGAAAAAGCAAGATTATGGCAACATTTTCATAATTTCAGGGCGACATTACAACCATGGTCCCATCCTGAATCTGTATGAGAATTTCTATGACTACCTGCCAAAATGATTTTGTTGAATTTTACCGCCATGCAGTTAGAAATTATTTCACACATAGATCTACTGTCAAACATTCAACAGAGATCACGTTTACATTTTATCTTTCATATTTAAGTGCTAGACTTAAGTATGAACCATTTCCACATTATGTTGGAGTGATGTTTCAGCAATTTTAGGCTTCGTCAATCATTACCCTAATGAATTTTAACAAATTGGAACATAAACATGAGCAATGCAGCAGTGGTGATAAACAGTAATAGAATAATAGTAATAAAAGGTATCTTCTATGTCAAATTGTGCATTCCTCAACAAGTTATGAAAACATTTTCTATTTTTGTTTAGAAAAACAGGTATTATTGCAGTCTGGCTTATATATATAAACATACATATAAGAATGGAGCCTCTTCTAGTAACAAGCTTAAAAAAACAGGTGGTTTATTGTAGACCTCTTAAAAGGGGCAGAGAACAAGGAAATAGAATGCTTACATATCTATACAGACTCATGATTTATTTAAAAACCAAAACTAAAGAAATTCATCATGTTGTAGTTTTCTTCTGTTTCTTCTTCTCATTCTCTTCTTTCTCTTTTTCAATTTCGGCAACGTATTTTTCAATTTCATCAGGGCTCAGTATCTATAGGGAAGTGATGAGATTACAATCAACTGGTCAGTTTCAAGTCATGTAACCAGGGTGTAGCCGGTTTCCTAACAAATTCTCTCATCCTAAGCAAGCCAGGTGAAGCAAGCCAGGTGAAGAGAAAAACAGATAAATCCATTACCTATTTTATTCACCCCCATCTTTTCTAGTCCTCTTAGGTCAGGCATGTCAAACTTGCGACGTCACGTGACGTCGTGCAACGTATCGGGCTGGTTTTGCTATTGCTGGCAACGGGGTGGGCGCGGCTTCCACATGACGCATCCAGCCCGCGGGCCAGCAGTTTGACAACTGCCTTAGGTCAAGGATGCTGCTGTTAACTAAATGTGAAATCACTATGCACTATTTTTTTTCATGTGAGGCAAAATTTCACATTGCATTTATAATGTTCTACACCGGGGTCCCCAATCCCCGGACCGGCACCTGTTCAAGGCCTGGCAGGAACTGGGTCACGCAAGCAAGCAAAGCCCCATTCGCACACACATGGGATCCAGACGGCACATGAAACCACACCCTCCACAAGCCGCAGAAAACTGCCCTCCATGGAACCGGTCCCTGGAGCCCAAAAGGTTGGGGATCACTGTTCAATAGTACAGTATTTTTCTAACTGCGGGATTTTAAGTGGTATGGACCGGAGTTCCTAGAATTTGGGGGATTTGGCTGAGGAATTCTGTGAGTTGAAATCCACACATCTTTCAAGTTATCCAGCTTGAAAAATTCTGCTGGAATGTATATATCAATATAGGCATGAAATGGAATGAGTGAAACAGAATGGCTTGGAATGATTTATTCCTTTATTTAGGCTTCAGAAGTATCATGTATAGATGCCAATTATCTATATTATTTATTAGGAAGCCATTACATTTCAAGTGCAGAGCTCTTTTGCAAGCAACTAAAGACCATGATATAGCAACTAATCTTCAAAACAAAAAAACAGTATTACTTAAACCAGTTTACCTTGAGAGGTTGGTTTCTTCTCATAACAGCCAGCTCAATATTTTTTCCACCAGACTGTACAACCTTAAATTGCAGAAATTCAGAAAAAGATTTTGTTACAAATGTGTTACAATTAAGGATTTTTTGCAATGAAAGAAGATGACATCCCATTTGAACTACATGACACATCTCAGAGTACTTCAATCTAATAAATTTAATACACCCAGAAAAAGTTTATTTCCTCCAAATCAATCTTAAAACCAGACAAAGAACTCTGGCTCTTTAATTTTACTGAATGAAATTAAAGAATATTAAATTATTAGGGCACTATTTAGCTTGTTCATTAACAAAACAATCAAGTTAGGAACAATTCAAATGTTGACACTTACTTCAAGAAGGGCTTTGATAACAAGTTTAATTGTCAGATCATCAGTTTCAATGGCTTCATCAGTATAGTTTTTCTCCAGAAATTCCCGCACGGATTTTGCTCCTCTGCCAATTGCGTTAGCCTAGGATAAAAAATATACTTGGCAAAGTGATGAAAAATGTCAACGAAATATTAACATATTTAAATGTTTCATCTGATAGCCTAAAATGCCTCCAGCTAATATTTAACAATTATCAGACACTATGAAACCAAATTGCAAGTGTTTGGATCCAATTAACATAAACAATCTCCCAACATGCAATATTCCTAATGAAAGATATAACAGTTCTTTTTCCACAGAGTGACAAAGCCCATTGATGGCTAAATTCCAGGTCCAATTACTGTATACCTCTACTCCTCCATATTTCTAGGCTCTAGGGAACGTAATCAAGACAAAAGTATTTCACAGCACAGGGCTACAATATTATGATGCCTGTCCCATGTAACAGCCTCCCTTGAAGACCCCAACTCCTCTGGCCTTCTGGAAGGCAGCAAAGAGCTAGCTTTCCCCCCAGTCCTGGGCTGAGATGTTAGGGAAACCCACTGCAAGTGCAGTTTTTGTGTAGTTCAGTTTGTTATATTGTGCTTTTGCTATTGTACTACAATTCTTCTAATTATTTGGACAGAGGTTGAGTTTTAAAAGTTACTACCGTGTTTCCCTGAAAGTAAGACCTACCCTGAAAATAAGCCCTACTTGATTTTTGGGGTTGGATCTAATATAAGCTCTATCCCCAAAATAACCCCTAGTTGTGGGGCAAGGCTCATGTCTAAAAATCAAGCTAGGGCAGGGTGGGGTGGGAGCTGCCCCACACGCCCCACTTGCCGTTGCAGCCAGGCCTCCCATGAATAGACACCTGCCTTGCCAGCCCAGTTCTTCTGCGGTGCTCCCCAGCCTGTATTTCGACATCAGAGACCTCCGGAAAGGCCTCTATCAGCAAAATGCAGGCCAGAGGGCGCCGCACGCATCAAACCGAGGCTGCATTCTCAGCTGCAGAGGCATTTCCTTCGGCCGGAGAAGAAGTTGGCCAACTAGGCAAGGCTGTTGGTGCCCCCGCTGTGAGATGAGATTATGGACCCCCCCCCCGAAAATAAGACCTGGTGCCTCTTTTGGAGGCAAAAAATATATAAAAATAAGACTGGGTCTTATTTTCAGGGAAACGCGGTATATTGCTCTTCTTCACTGTTGTTGGCTACCCAGAGTTCATATGTAAGATGGGCAACCATGTGAATTTTCGACAACTAAACAAATATTTTTAATAAGAATGAAGTCATTCCAACTGTCGACTGGAAAGTTCTACAGTACTATCTCTATCAAAAGAAAAAAGAAAAAAATAACAAGACCGTTCCTACAAATAATAGAAAGCAAATGGCAAAAGAAATTTAAACCAAAGGGTTGCCATAAATTATTTTGTGACACTTTGGCTGTTGCTTCCATTATCGTTCAACAGGGATTAGCTTTCATTTTAAAATGTTTATTTATTTATTTATTAAATTTATTTGCCACTCATCTCACCTTGGGGCTACTTTTCTAGTAGTCCATTAAATCCTATGCAAAGCAGTGAACTCATTTGCTTAACCATGTTTCATTTCGCAGGGTTCACATATCTTGTTAAACCAAACCAGTTACATTATGGTTAGTATGATGTATGAACCTAGTCTAACTCTGGTTTCTCCATATAAATAAAAGCAGAAAAATACATGGATTATGAATAATAGGGAATGTACTATTTTGAACCACAGTATGGTTAAGCAGCCTTTAAAAAGGGAATATCTAATCCAGAATTGGAGACAAAAGGAATAAGGAAAATAAGGTTAGGTTAAACCAGGGGTAGGCAACCCAAAACACTTAAAGAGCCACTTGGACCCGTTTCCCACCAAAAACAAAACACTGGGAGCCGCAAAACCATTTTGATATCTAAAATGAAGATAACACTGCATATATCCTTTTTTACCTTTATTATAGGGTGTGTGTGTGTGTGTGTGTGTGTGTGTGTGTATGTATGTGTGTGTGTGTGTGTATATATATGTATATGTATATGTATGTATATATATATATATATATATATACATACACACACACACACACACACACACAGGTAAAAAAAGGATATATGCAGTGTTATCTTCATTTTAGATGTCAAAAGGGTCTCTCTCTCTCTCTCTCTCTCCCTCTCTATCTGCCCTTGGTCTGCCACTCCTCTTCCCCCGCTCTCTTTCTTTCTCTCTCTCTCTTTCCTCTCTCTCTCTCCCTCTCTCTCTTTCTCTCTCTCTCTTTCTCCCCCCCCTCTCCTATCTGCTGCTCACCTGACAAGCTTCAGGCTGTTGTCCAACAAGATCAGGGGTAGTCAACCTCGTCTCTTTTATGACTCATGGACTTCAACTCCCAGAATTCCTGAGTCAGCCTAGCTGGGCTAGCTAGCTCTCTCCTGCCCTTCCTGCTTCCTGCAGAGACGCAGCAAAGGGAAGAACTCCGCCCAGTAAGCTTTTCAGCTCCTCGGAGAACACTGTGAGTGCACTCTCTTTTTTTTATACACACACATACACACACACACACACAGAGAGAGAGAGAGAGAGAGAGAGAGACAGGGAAGCGCAATTCCTCTCTCTGTCTCTGTCTCTCTCTGCAAAGGCAGAGGAGGCTGGGAGCCGCAGGGGAAGGCTCAAAGAGCCGCATGCGGCTCCGGAGCCGCAGGTTGCCGACCTGTGGGTTAAACTATGTAATACTGTCTGATCTTCCATAGATAGTGAGAGAATGAATTAATTTGATGGAAGGATTTACTTATATGATTTAAGTGCTCTTTCATTTTCATCTTCACAAAATCTAATGGGTCAACTCACCTTCCAAGCATGGTAAGTGCCAGACGGGTCAGTCTGATATAGCCTCGGAGTTCCATCAAAGTCAAACCCTACAATAAGGGCAGAAATACCAAAAGGTCTGCGGCCATTACTCTGGGTGTATCGCTGAGGGGAAAAAAAAGGTGTTATGAAATAGAACTACTGTAACTGTATGCCAAGAGATGTGAAAATTTACGAACCAGTGCTTGGCAACTAAGAAATTAGATTATGTTCTGAAGAGATCAAAAAGATTTTAAGAGCAAAAGTCCCTGTTTCAGACAGCAGTTCAGAATTCAAAACAGAGTGAATTTGAAACTTAGCCCCACATCAAAGAAGCAAAACTTTTGAATGCTCAAACAGCACTGAAATACTTTCAGCAAGTGTAGAACAGCTGTTTCAAATTTAGAATATTATTTTCAACTTCATGCTTTTTGAAAATTACAAAACAGTACTCTCTATTTTTTGGAAAACTAAATTTACTTGTAACCCAAAAGATGTTGAAGAATTACTATTTTAAACATCTGCTTGCTCATTAATCATTAATCCAGCCTAGAATTTGCAATTTTTTCAAATGCATATTTAAGAACTGAAAAACATCTTCATGAGTGTTATCATACACTTTAATTAAAGGAACATCATTAAGTTGGCAAAGATGGAAGCAAGTATAGGTAGTCCTCAACTCACAAGCACAATTGAGGCCAACATTTATGTTGCTAAGTCAGACCTTTGTTAAGTGGGTTTTGCCCCATTTTACGACCTTTCTTGCCACGCCTGTTAAGTGAACCACTGTCGTTAAGTTAGCAGCACAGTTGTTAAGTGAATCTGGCTTCCCCATTGACTTTGCTTGTCAGAAGGTTGTAAAAGGTGATCACATGATCCCAGGACACAGCAAAGCTCATAAATATGAGTCAGCTGCCAAGTGCCTGAATTTTGATCATATGACCATGGGGACACTACAACAGTCATAAGTGTGAAAAATGGTCATAAGTCACTTTTTCAGTGATGTAACTTTGAATGGTTGCTAAATGGACTATTGTTAAGTAGAGGACTACCTGTATGTAAATCTGCAAAATAAATCAAACATAATATCTAATAACTGGAATAGGAAACATTATTTCCTACAATCTTGTATTTTGGGGAAAAAACTAGATTTTATTTTTGGCCAATAAAAGCAGCTACATTATATTCCATTTTTGCCCAAATTTTGCAATAAAACCAAGCAATGAATATGGCCTTTAAACAAATGTACATACCTGCTTCAGGCTAGCAATATAACGTGTAATATATTCCACAGTGACAGGATCTTCCACTGTAAGTCTATGGCTTTGGCATTCCACTCGGGCTCTATTTATAACTATCCGGGCATCTGCTGTGAGACCTGTAAATAATAGTTTAAAATATCAAAATTTGCCTTTAGCAAAGTAGGTAAAAATATTTTTACCTTAGTAAGCTGGTTAAATGAATATTTATTTTATGCCTATATTCATCTTATGTTCCAGAAAAAAATATTCTTTTGATGTGGATAAATGATATGTGTATTCCCAGCATACTTTCATTATGATATCTAATGAGCCCTCCCTGTGATGATTTTGAATGAAAAAGGACAGAGGAAAGATTAACCTGATATTTTGTGACTGCCAGTCTTCCAGTCAGATTGTTAATGCAGCTTTTAATTTAGAAAAAGAAATAGAGCAAAGAGTGTTGTGCTGATTGTTAAGTAAAAAAAATGAACCAGGGCTGTAGAATTCTACCTTTCAGGGCTGGCTAACCTGATTGGTAAAATCAGGAAAAACTTAATTTCAAGAATCTCTCAGTCTTCTAGAGCAGACAGCATTCCAACAGCAGAGTTTTAATCCTATTAAATCCACCCCCACCAGCTGGGGGGAGTGGTTGGTAGAGTAAAATAAGGAATTGAATATTGCTACTGAAATATGTGACAAAAGAATGACACTGTCATATTCAAGTCAAAATAATTAAATTTCCATTAATAGAAAAATTAATGGACATTTCTGAACCATTTATAATTTTTTTCTCAACATTCAAAGTAGAATACTATGATTATAAAGATTTGAAGTTCAAAAACTAATTATAATAATTAATTTTAAAGTACTTTTTTTAAAAAATAAGAGATTTAAAATTGACCTGAGGGATAAAGAAAATATTATATTTTCAGAACACTTAAAGAGAAGAAATCTCCACAGATGTTTTTCCCTAGCCTTACTATTTTTAATTTGTTGAGATTCTTTGCAAATAAAAAAAAACATCCAAGGGAACAGTAATTTCTAGTCTTTGTAGCAAGGAATGCAGTGGCTAAGAATTTTCAGATTTTTAGTTTCACACACATCTAAAAAAAGTGAAACTGGAGAAAGGCTGTATTAAGAAAACCCATCATCAGAGTACCTGCAAAGGCCATGCAGACGTTGTCATCAAGAGCACAGATCTTTCGGACAGTTCTCTCATCTTGCAGTTTCGCCACAGATTTTTTCTCCACACCAAGAACTACAATATCTTTTCCTCGTACTCCAACCTGTAATATGAAATGAAGGCGTTAAGTACCATATCAAGCACCTTCCCTATATATTAGGGTTTTTAAAAAAAATACCAATAGCAAAACAAATGCCTTTTTATCATTTCAGACTAGAATCATTCCACATTCTACCTGGGAGATGTCTACTTAGATTGAACCTGGAACTTTAATTATCCAAAACAAAAACTGAATCAAAGTATAGTTTTGTTGCTAAATATTATCTGATATGAAAATGTGCACTTTAACATGTATGGCAATGTTTCACAGTGGTTTTAACAGGTAACAGAAATATATTAAAAAAAAAACCATTCCTACAGTAGTACTACCTGGAACAGGAAACCTTATGTGTGCCTCCCCCCATGGTGCCCCTCGTGGCATGGAGCTCAATTCTGATCAGCCCCAGCCAGCACTACCAATCAAAAAGAATTGTAGCAGCCACCTATATACCAACCAGAGGGCATTACTATTATTTACTTGTTGTATGTCATGCCTTTCTACTCTAGTGAATGTTCAAGGCAAGTTTTAAAAAACAATACAAAAACAGAAAAAGAAACAACAATGTAAGATGAAGTCATCTCTCTTCAAAGACAGATGCCTTTACAAATTTTCTAAATGATGAAAGAATAGGGTCCTAACACATCTCTTAAAGGAGTGCATTCCACTTTCTGGGAACAATGTCAAGAATACAATTTACCATAGGCAAGAAATATCTCCATTAATGGGAACACTTTCAAAAAGCCCTCTCCTGGACATTCTAACCCAGCGGTTCTCAACCTGTGGGTTGGGACCCCATTTGGGGTCGAACGACCATTTCACGGGGGTCGCCAAACAATGCAGTCCGCCATTTTTTCCCCTTTTCCTTAGCTGTGCTACTCCCTCTTATTCTATTGGCTTTTGAAAGCCAATAGAATAGACTCTCTTGAATAGAGTCTAATTCTATTGGCTTTCAAAAGCCAATAGGAATTGTCCAGGCTGTCTCTGCCCTGCTAAGCCCACCAAAAGCCCCAGTCTGCAAACGGTGCTGCAAGTTGTCTGCAGCAAAGGTGAGCTATCTGGAAGTTTCCACCCCTCCCTGCTGACAACTACTAAATGTAAGTAAAAGAGGGCCAGGGGTGGGAGGCGGCAGGCGCAGGGAGGGTTGCTGGTGCGCGTGGGGCCCGGCGGGTGCCTTACCTCCCTTGGGCTGGGCCAGCTGGTGGCCTAGCCGGTGGTCACCCTGCGCCGTCACTGCCCCTTGCCAGCTACGCCTTGGCCGGAGCAGGGGGCAGCCCCACACATGCGTAGCGTTCCCGGGCAGGGAAAGTCTTCAACTTACGACCGGTTGGGTAGTCCTCGACTTACAAGCGGTTGGGGGGGGGGTCGCAGCATTAAAAAGGTTGAGAACTACTGTTCTAACCTCACAGGAGAGATTACATCATGACAGACCTTTAGTAATTACTGGTAGATACTAAACTGTTTAGGACTTCAAAGGTTTACACCAAATTTTTAAATTGTACTTGGTAAGGAACAAGCAACTGGTTCACAACTTTCTACATAATCATTCTGTGACTCCAGTATCTCCCATTGTTTAGTAGCTTACTTGCCTCATTTTTCACCAATTGCAACTTTTAGAGGACAATTCCTCATCAAACATGTTGCAGCAGTCAGGAGAATAACCGAAGTAATTAAGCATGTTTGCCAAATCTGATTGATTCAGGAAGGGTTGCAGCTAGTATATTTTCTTTAAGGACAGACATACTCCATATTCAGATCTCCCAAATAAATACAGGGACAGTCTTCTCCCTTCCAGACATGCTGAATATTGTTAATCCTAGTGCATTTTCTTATTAAGGAACATTTTCCTGAATTTTAATTTATCCTTGTTTCCCCCTTCAAAACTTCACTGATTTTCCCCTAGCAGTTTTATTATCTGCACTTGATATATATCTTCCAGCTTTTTCTTCAAAAGAGATTGAGGAAAACAATTTTGAAGAAAAAAATGAGCAGTCTGTAGTTTTCTTTAATTCCTAAAACTGTCCAGTATAACCTCTTAAGTAAAGAAAGCAACTATGCAAGGAAAAATATACTGATTTGATCCAAAATGTCTTTCATTCAAAATTCCATCTTCCCATAACTATATCCAGGCCCATCATATTATCTTGAAGCAACATAGCTCAATTATTTTTTTTTAATCCTAAAAAAACAGCCTACAACAAGCCAATGAAGGATTGCAAATACACACTTGCTATACCTGTTTGCTTCATCCAGCAATTTAATTACTTGCTGTAGACACAAATATTTTATTTCACTCAGCCAAATTTACCTTTTTTATTGCTTTACTTATTAAATAAGGTTAACACTCTTTAAAGTTTGAAATGTGTTTCAGTATTTACTCTTTAAAGTCCCTTTCTATAGCTACAGGTTTTAATTCTCCCAACTTTTTACCAGGATTGCTGTAAGAATCGGAATCTGTCCAATGATTTATAGGATGTTTCTAATACCTTTAACTCCTTAAAAAACAACCTGACTGCCTCCTCAATCTGAAATTCCTATTCCTTAATTTTGTAACTATAGTCTCTTTTCTAATCTCTTTCAGACAACTAATTCTTTTCTACCAATCCTTTCTATGAATTGTTTAGGCTTGTCCCACCACAAATAAACTAAGTTGTCATTTCTGGACTTCACATCACTTTCATTATTTGATTAGGAACCTACCCTCCTTCCATTTCAAGAATGCTTATAACTAGTGGGCACAAAATTTTGATGAACCGATTTTATTAGATACATGGGAGATTATTTGGGTGAGGAATGTTAAATTCACGCAAGCCCAAAACTTACGGGAAAACTTTTATAAAATGTTTTATAGATGGCACCTTGATCCACAAAAAATGTCTCGTATGTATCCAAACCTGCAGCCTAAATGTTGGAGATGTGGTTGCTCGGATGCTACTTATTATCATATCTGGTGGTCATGTAAAAGTATTAAAGCTTTTTGGATTAAGATATGGTGGAATATTCAAAGAATTTTTAAAAGGATAAAATTTACTCCACAATAGTTTTTGTTGGGTATTGTTTCTGATTGTGATGATAAAGAGATTATTTTAATGTTAAATTTAATTACTGCGGCTAGGTTGTTAATAGGACAATATTGGAAGAAGGAATTTTTGCCTACTTTGCAAGAATGGTTTTTTAAAGTTTCTTACTTAGCGGAAATGGCAAAAATTTCGGCTTTCTTGAAAGATCAATCGCAAGAGAAGTATCTTTTGGTGTGGAAAAGATGGATAAATTTTATACAATATAAGTATGATATAAGAATGCTTATAACTAAAAGTAAAATGTTATACATTAAGCTTAAAACATGAGCAAGCAGCATTTTTATAAAATACAGTACTGGAAAAATTAAAAGTTCTTGCCAGACAGAAAAGCTTCATCAAGTGTCTTTGTTTCCCTTTCTGTTTCCCATTAAATTATTTAGCTTTGGAGAACAAAGCTAAGCTCTCTGCAGAATAGAAAATGTGGCAGGCCACAGGCAACAACAAACCTAACTTTATCTAACCCCCTTCAATATGAAACAATATCCTCCCTTTAGAGGATGAGCCAAAAGAAACCAGAGCTTTTCTTCTAGTATAACCAACCCCCCCCACTTGCTTTTCTCTAACCTGATAACATCACACCAATCCACAATGTTCTGTATCAGTTTATTAAGCAACCCCAATTAACTGACAACATTAAACTAAAATTCAGACAATTCATTAAATACACACAACAAAGCTTACAAACCAAAACTCATGTTATGGCATTGTATATTGTGTGAACGCATACCAGTATATATCTGTACTATATATGTATATCTGTATCCATACATATACCTTATGGATTGAACACTATCATATCACCTTCCCCCCCCCGCCAGATGTGTACAGCCGGCTCCTTCCAAAACTGGAGGCCCTACTTGCTGAGAATTCTGGGAAATTCAATCCCAAAATGCCTGAAAAGACTAACTAGGGAGGCCCATCTTACCCAGCCCCCAAAAGGAGCCTTTACTGGGGCGCTGGAGAGGCCAGAGCGGGCTCGAAACGCGTCTTTTCATCAAAAGCTTTTGGTGTTTTATTTACAAGCTATCCTATTTTATTTTATTTATTTCTAGCGGTCCAAGGAAATAAAAATGCTCTTCTGCCCACAAGGACCCTCTAGAATCGGGTTTAAGAAGCAATCGGACAGCCATTTGTCCAGAATGGTATAAGGTCTCCTGTACGAGTAAAGGGCTGGACTAGATGACCTCCAAGGCCCCTTCCAACTCGGTTAGTCTGCGTTTTGTAAGAGTCGGGCCTTCTAAATTAGCGAATTCCCTAAACAAATCGATGGGAAAGTTCAGGCGGGCGCTCGGACAGGCTTGGCCTGGTCCACGCCGGCCACGGGACAAGTCTGAGGCCGGAGGTAGAGCCGGAGAACATTGGGCCGGCCCTGCCAGTGGGCCTTGCTGGCTGGGAGTGATGGGAATTGGAGTTCAACGCGTCCATGCTCCACGGCACAGAGGCCCGTCCCTCCCCCCTCAGGCGCGCCTTCTCTTTACCGCGGTGGAGCCTTTCTTCACGGCCTCCTGGGCATATTCAACCTGAAACAGGTGCCCGTCCGGGGAGAAAACGGTGATCGCCCGGTCGTAACTCATGACAGCGGCGAGACGACGACAAAAACCACAGACCGGAGCCGAGAATGAAAGGAAGCAACAGCCGCGCGAGATCTCCCCCTCAAAACAGCACCGTCACCTTCCCTCAGCGCGCATGCGCCGCTGCTTCCCGATGCCGCGCGCAACACACTATTCACGCAAATTCATACGCCGGCTCCTCCGCTTTTATCTGAGGCCCTACCCACCTACGGGGAAGGAAAAACAGGGGCTCTACGTCAAGCACGTACTGGGAGCCGTAGGCGGCTCGACCTATCCCCGTCGCCAACGCTCTTGGCCGGACACAACGGCGAGCGGGATTGGCTTAGCTGGCTGAGGCGTAACACAGCCTGTCAGCCCAATAGATCAGGAAGCGATTGGGCTTCTTCGTACTCTAATAGCTTAGGCAAGGGAACCGGGCAAGCCGCCGGGAAGCTGGCCGACGCTACGCAGATGACGTACGCGCGGGTTAACCCGCGTCTTCTCCTCCCTGTCTTTCCACCTGCTGCTCCCACGCACTTGGCGTAGCGCTGCCTTCTTTCTCTACGCACTTGGCGCAGCGAGATGCTCTTTATTGGCAAAATCAGGGAAGAGATGCGATTCGCTCGCGACAGGAAACCCGACAACAGGGATGCACCATGTGCAGGGGGAGGGGGAGGAAGGGAAGGTGGATTTTGGAGAAAGACGGGGGGGGGAAGGGAGAGGAGGAGGCAAAGCCGCTCAGGTGGCTCGGCCGTCTCTCCCTTAGCCCCAGCTCAGTCGCTGGCTCTCCGCCTTGCATTGCGCGCAGAAGCGTCCAGGTAAAGGGGGTGCACGGAAGGCTCTTGGTGCAATGCCGCAGGCTCATTGCAAGGCGCAGATTGTACCATTTCCTCGGGCTCCCCTCCTCATGCACTGCGGCGAAGGCTGCCCCTTTGCACGGCAATAGCGGCCAGATAATAACAAGATTAGGACAGCCGGGCAACCCCTGCATGCCTGACCCGCCTTGTCCAAAAAGGCAAGCGGACGCCACCACCCCACCATGTCGGTTGCCTTTGCTTCTGCACGCCCGAGAGGCAAAGGAGAGGTCACCCAGCAAACTATCCAAAAGGTAACGCAAATAAAGCCCAAAAAGGGGGGGGCATGAAGGGGGTTGCTTTAATAGGGACCAGCCGTGGGTGTCACAGGGAGGGAGGGAGGGGGGCTTGCATCCAGCTTCCCCGAGCCCGGTCAGCAGCCGGAGAGGCACCGCTTCCTTCCTCGCCGAGGCTCCCGGCTCGAAGGGGCGTTTGCAAAAGGAAGGCTGAGGCTGCTGCTGCTGCAAGGACCGGGGGGCCAAAGGCAGAACAAAGCCGAGGGGCTCCGAGCTCGTGCAACCCCCCCCCCGAACGCGCTCATCCCCTTTGCAGCCCCGGGCTGGTTCCCTGCCGGCCCCGGAGAGCGGCGTCTGCCAGGCTCGCTCGGGCGCATTGCAGATTGCGGGGCTCAGCCGCGGCGCTCCTTGACCCGGGCTGCCGCTTTGACAGCGGTTAGCAGCGGTCTAGCCTTTGCGGAGGGGGGGGGGATGAACGGGCGAGGAAGGGATACGCAGCCCTCCTCTCTGCCCGCACCGTCTCGTCCCCGATCTTCTTTCTTGGGGGGAAGGCTTGGCTCGGGTGGGTGGGTGGGGGGAAATCAATGGAAAGGGGGGGATTCACGCGAAGAGCGGCGGTGCGCGCCGGTTGTTGGAACGGGGAGGGGGAGGCTTTTATTATTGTTTGCGGATGGGAAACTGGGAAACGCGTGCAGCGGTGACGAGCGGCTGCCGGGAGAGTTGGCAATATTCCCTTTCGGGCTGCCTTTGAGGATCGTTTGCCTTCTCTGTAAGGCTGCCCTCTTTTCTTTCTTTTATTCGTTCGTTCCTTCGTTCCGGAGAAATTCCTAAAGGCTGGTTGGGAGGGAGAGTCGACTGGTGTGCGTGCGTGGGTGGGTGGGTGTTTCTGGATGGGAATTGAGCCCCTCCTAATGGGAGGGAGGCCAGAATGAGGCAGGTGCATTCCCTGGGCGAGTTTGGGACGGCACAGCGAGGACCCTCCCCGGTTTTCTCCAGTCTCCCTTTTCCAAGCAAGGAACTGGTCCTTAGAGGAAGCTGCAGGCCATCCTGGATCTGCTGAGGCGTAAACAATACTCAGGATTTTCAGCCCCGGCTGCCCTCCAGCCATCCGCCCACCTTCTCTGAAGCAATGGTGGTCCCAATAATGATGGTGCTCTTCAGATGTGCCGAGACTACATCTCCCAGGATCCTCAGCCAAGACCCAAGAAGGTCTTTTCAGAATCTTGGAAGAACAGGGGATGTTTTTATCATTGCCTTTGATCACGAGCTGGAGGAACTTGAGAAGAGGATGGAGCATCAGGTGGGAAGGGACCCTGAAAGTCTTCTGGAAAAATGCCCTCGTGGACAAATGCCTGTCCAATCTTTTCTTGAAATTTTTCACTGATGGAGCACAATGGAGCATCTACAGCAGGAAGTGGGTTGTTCACTGCTGAATAGGAACCAATCAATTTTCCCGTGTTGCAAAATGTATCTGTCAGACCTACCACAGCTTGTACTCCTAAATAGAAATGATCCTTGGCGCCATTTGTTGAGAAAGGTATAGTTTTATTAGAAATGTATTGCAGTAATGATAGCCAGAACCGAGAATCGCACACCAAAATCCCTATGTTCAACTTTTCCCTCCCTTAACTGCCTCCCATCGCTGACACCTCCCCCCTGTCCAATCAGGTTGAAGCACGATGTTTTCAGAACTGTCATTTCAAGCGTAGGTTGGTATGCAGGTGCTTTTTTCTACCAGCCAGGTGACCTTGAGGCAGTGTCTCAGGAAGATACAGCAGTTAAAACTTTTGCTTCCCCCCCCCACAAGCATTCCCCCTCCCATCCACTCTCCCCCGAGTCCAGAATGTTACCACATGGTAATGAAGCCCTAGCAAGCATGAGGTGGCACTGACAGTACTTAAAAGAAAAGTCATCCCAGATATAATTCTTACTATTGTTGGCTGGAATCTGTCTTGTGCATCATGAAGTCATCTTTACTGAAGATTACTGACTGTAATCTACTATGTTCGTCTAGCCTAGTTGGGTTATAGATTTTATTTTTAATTTAGTTCACGGGAAAGGGAGTGACTGGCCAAAGTCATCCATTTCTGTGCCTCTGGATGGACTAGGACAGAGGTGGGCAACCTTGGCTCTTTTACGACTCGTGGACTTCAACTCCCAGAATTCCTGAGCCAGCCATGCTGAGGGGAAAGGGAGAGGTTTCCAAGCTGAGCCATGCTGGCTTAGGAATTCTGGGAGTTGAAGTCCACGAGTCATAAAAGAGCCAAGGTTGCCTACCCCTGGACTAGGAGCTTCCAAATTACCACCTCAAATATTACCTCAGTGGCATTCTTATTTACAGATAGTCCTCAATTTACTGCCACAATTGAGCCCAAAATTTCTGTTGCTAAATGAGACTTTTGTTGACTGAATTTTGCCCCATTTTACAAACTTTCTTGCCACAGTTGTTAAGCGAATCACTACAGTTGTTAAATTAGTAACACAAGTGCTAAGTGAATCTGATTTTCCCACTGACCTTGCTTGTTAGAAAGTTGCAAAAGGTGATCACCTGAGCCCGGACACTGCAACCCTCATAAATATGAGTCAATTGCCAAGCCTCTGAGTTTGGGTTAAGTGACCCTGGGGATGCTGTAACGGTCATAAGTGTGAAAAATGGCCATAAGTCACTTTTTCCAGTGCCTTTGTAACTTTGAGCAGCCATTAAATGGTTGTTAGTTGAGAACTACCTGTATATTTTTGTTCTACCAAACTAGCATCCTTTATGTCAGTGGTTCTCAACTTTTTTAATGCCGCGACCCCCCAACTGGTCGTAAGTCGAGGACTACTCAACCGGTTGTAAGTCGAGGACTACTCAACTGGTGCAGCACCGTTTGCAGAATGGGACTTTTGGCGGCTCAGCAGGGCAGAGACAGCCTGGACAATTCCTATTGGCTTTTGAAAGCCAATAGAATTAGACTCTATTCAAGAGAGTCTATTCTATTGGCTTTCAAAAGCCAATAGAATAAAAGGGAGTAGCACAGCTAAGGAAAAGGGGGGAAAAATGGCGGACTGCGTTATTTGGCGACCTCCATGAAATAGTCGTTCGACCCCAAATGGGGTCCCGACCCACAGGTTGAGAACCACTGCTTTATGTCTTCCGTAGTGGTTAACATGCCAGACTAGGAGAGTTCCAGTTCTATTTTAGGCACAAAGCTAGCTGGGTGATCTTGCACCAGCCTTTCTCTCTCAGTCCTAGGAAGAAGGTAATTGAAAATCCCTTCCAAAATCTTGCTAAGAAAACTGCAGATGCTTATCCAGGCAGTCACCAGGAATCAACACTGATTTGAAAACACCCACACATATCAAAGGATACGCAACTACTTTTTTTTGGCATCAAATCATTTTGGAGATCGCTGCTTTATTGAAATATGGATAAAGAATATTGGAAGATGATGGCTTAAGAAAGTCTGACACTACATCACACTCACAGTCATCTCAAGAATTACAAAAAAGGCCCATGCTTCATTTTCTAACCATCCCAAAGATGCTTTTTCATGAGGCAACTGGACTTCTTATAGAAGAAAATCCAGTTGCCTCGTGAAAAAACACCTTTGGGATAATTACGAGCTGGATGACTGAGAATATCCATAGACCTTCATTTTCTAGGTCACCTTAGCCACAGTTTGTTAGCCAAAGTAAGTAGATCCATTGCAATGGATACACCGTAGGTAGTGCTCAGCTGATGACGGTCACTTAGCAACCATTCAAAATGACCGTTCAAACCTACATGGGAGGGGGGCTGGTATGTCCAGCCCTGATTTGAAGTTCCAATGGCCACCGGGCCTCATTTACGGCTGTTTGTAGCATCTCACAGTGATGGCTGTGTTTTATTATGGTTTTGCAGAAAAACCAGCATTTACGTCTAGTTTTCAACAAAATCAGCCCTGTAACCTACCAGTGGTTCTCTTAACGACTGGGGCAATTGCTTTATCACTGTCTCATTCACTGAAAGAGATTGCAAATAAACTGATGAAATCATGTTAAGAGAAACTTCCTGACAGTTAGAACAATTAACTAGTGGAACAACCTGCCTCCAGAAGCGGTGATTGCTCCAATACTGGAAGTTTTTAAGAAGAGACTGGACAGCCATTTGTCTGAAATGGTATAGGGTTTCCTGCCTGAGCAGGGGGTTGGGCTAGATGACCTCCAAGGTCCCTTCCAACTGTATTATTATTATTATTATTATTATTATTATTATTATTATTATTATGTGGGTGACTCAATTTACGTCTATCACGACTTACCACTGTGATGGGCAGGCTTCATAATGGTTTTAAGTCAAGAACTGTCTGAGCAGGTAATCTTCGGCTTACGGCCCGAGTGGAGCCCAAAATTTCCATGACTAAGGAGGACAGTTGTTAAGTGCATCGCTCCCCATTTTATAACCTTTTTGGCCACAGTTGTTAAGCAAATCACTGCAGTTATTAAGTGAAGCAGGTGGTTATTAAGTGAATCTGGCTCCCCCCCTTGACTTTGCTTTTCGAAAGCCAGCTAAGAAGCTAACAAATGGTAATCACATGACCCCGGGATGATGAGTCAGTTGCCAAGCACCCAAATTTTGATCACATGACCCTGGGGATGCTGCAATGGTTGTACATGTGAAAACTGGTCATAAGTTATTTTTTCAGTGCTGTAACTTTGAATGGTCATTAAAGGAATGGTTGCATGTCAAGAACTATTTGTGTTGTTAAAAAGCTCAGAATTCCATCTATCCATCCCTGACATGGAGGATAAGTTATGCCAATCTCATTGAAGTCATCTGGGGAATGCTTTTATTTTATTTTATTTTATCTGATATAAACAAATAATTTCCAAATAAAGGCAAGTATACGTGTCCTGGGATAATGTTGCAAGATCCAATCTGGGTCAGTCACCAGGACCAAAGGTTTAGTCTTCTGAGCTTTCGGACTTGTGCAGAAGCCCATCCTAAGAGAACTTCTCTCTAGCATAGGGGTAGGCAACCTTGGCTCTTTTATGACTGGTGGACTTCAACTCCCAGAATTCCTGAGCCAGCTATGCTGGCTCAGGGATTCTGGGAGTTGAAGTCCACCAGTCATAAAAGAGCCAAGGTTGCCTACCCCTGCGAAATGTCTGTTTTGGGGATGTTCCCTGAGGATGGGCTGCAGCATGAATCCGAAAGTTCAGAAGACTAAGCTTCTAGTCCCCATGACTGACCTAGATTGGATCCTGCAACAAATAACTCCATGGACTGTCTAGGGAGATTTTCAGTCAATTAGGTAACGGTTGTCCAAAAATGCTTTTTTTCAAAAGGCACCTGGACTTCATTTTTCCTTGAAGACGTTTCACTTCTCATCCAGGACGTTTCTTCTGTTCTTCTTCCATTCAGCTTCTTCTTCGGAACGGAAGAAGCTTCTTGGATGAGAAGCGAAACGTCTCCAAGCAAAAGCCAAGAAAGTCCATTTGCCTTTTGAAAAAAAAAGCACCATTGAGACAATTCCATTAACTGCTAAAGAAAAGGAAGTGTGGCTCTTAAGGATGACATCAAAGTGGCAAATTGGCCAATTACTACCATGCATTGTTTGGGTTTATGCATAAGCCATGTGTGCACACACTTTTAGTCTGTTTGATTAACTCAGCTGTGATTTATGGAACCAACACATTTTTTCTTGCTCTCCATGACCACCACCACAGCTGGAGCTTAACGTGCTAGGTTAAAATGCTGAAATCTGATCCTTTAGTTTGTTATTCGGTGTGTCTTGTGAATGTAGCCATTTATTAAGATAGGATAATGGCCTTGAATTTGATAAGAATCCTGGTTGCTTTCTAAAGCAGTTTTTCCCACTACATTTTATTCATATTTATCCCTCTTACAATTTATGGGTGTGTTTTTTTTATATATATTTTGCTTTGAGAATGGATTCACACATTACGTTGAACCTTAGCTTGTTTTAGCACGATTAACACAATAGTCTGATTTCCTGTAATATGTCCATCCCAAATCAAAGAATATTAAGGTCACAAGTAAATCTAATGGCTGGTTTTGACTCTGGTTTAATCCAAGTGTGTGAACTCATCCATTGTGAATTGCGAACTATTGTGAATTGTGATGCAATGCATAAATCACACCATGCAATGTGAGACGTCACCGTTTTTCTATCCATATTTTCATAAATAAGTTAGAGGTAGTCCTTGACTTATAGACTGGTCACTTAGCAACCATTCAAATTTACAACAGATGTGTCTCGGGGTACTTAGAATCCAGAGATGAACTTCCAATGGCTGGAGCCCCCCCCCCTGCAGTCATGTGACCACATTTCATGTGTTTGGCAACCAAACCACATTTGCAGATGTTGGCAGAGTCTCCTGGTAATATGATCGTGTTTTATGACAGTTTTGCCAAAAATATGCATTTATTTCCAGGTTTTAGAATAACCATAGCCACAGCAAACAGAATAATAAAGTTGGAAGAGAACGTGGAGGTTTTCTAGTAGTCCAACCCCCTGCTGTCTTCTTAAAGCAAGGGTCTTCAACCTTGGCAACTTTAAGACTTGTGGACTTCAACTCCCACAAATCTTAAAGTTGCCAAGTTTGAAAACTCCTGTCTTAAAGTTTTCCAGTGATGGGGCATCCACAACTTCTGGAGGCAAGCCATTCCACTGATTAATTGTCTTCACTGTCAGGAAATTTTTCTTTAGTTCTAGGTTGCTTCTCTCCTTGACTAGTTTTTGGTTTGTCTAACAACCACCGATTTCGCTTAACAACCAAAGAAGTCATGAAATTGGGTCATTAATGCTGGTGACCTGATTTACAACCGTCGTGATTTACAACTCTGATGGGCAGACTCCATTATGACCGTAACTCAAAAACTACCTGTACAAGTGCATCAAACCATAAACTAGAGGACAATCTACAATGGCTGTCTTCAAGCAAAAGCAGCACATCATCACACAGCTACTTTCATGGGTGAAGCCAATCAATACCATCAGCCATGTCCAAACCAAGGGGATGAAAAAAAAAATCAATATGGCAGCTACAATCATGCAGCTGAAGCTACCTCTTTTTTACCTATATCATGATGCAAATAAAAAGAAGTGGGATTTTGATCACACGATCTCTTTTGACACCTACCCAGCGGACACTTCTGAACCAGCTTTGCATTTTGCAAACAAATTACAGGAGGTTGAAAAGACACATAAATACGATTTGCCTCTAAATTTGGAACACACATTTTAAAATGAAGACCTCCTAGGTTTAATATCAGTAGCTTCTGCTGAAAAAAACTGGGCCTGGAGAAGATTCTCACCTTATTGACCAACATCAATGAGAATGCATAAAGCCCAGTTCCTCTTTCTATAGCATAACCAGTTCAGATAGGTGAACAACCTGTTCTCTGTGTGGATGCCGCTTCCAGAAGTCCGTTCTGGGCCTGGGCAACAAAATATTAGCTACCAGATCTGCCGAAGTGGTGAGAATCAGCTGAATCCCACCACTGAGCTCAACCCATCTCACTGTTATCCCAAAGGTGCTTTTTCACAAGGCAATTGGACTTTCTTGTTTGTTTTTTTCTCACAGGGTTGTTTTTTTCTCACAGGGTTATTGTGCTGGTGAAAAGAGGTAGGAACATTTGCTACATGTGCTGCCTTGAGTGGACAAAATAATAAAGGCAGGATAAATCAAATTTAAAAATTAAAAATAATGTAGATGATGGGTGAAACATCTCATTTCCATTAATGCAAATGCTGTTCCACTACTTTTGCTAATTGCTTGTTTAGATTTCATACTACTTAAGGCATAAAGGCTGTGCAAGGAGTATCTTTAAGTTTAGCAGGATCAAATGGAATTTCTCAGCTATGTTTCAGTCGGTAATGGCTTGATCTTTTTTGTTGCTTTTAAATCCAGATGTTGGATGAAAATCACCATCTGATACAGTGCATTATGGACTATCAGAGCAAGGGCAAAACAGCAGAATGTACTCAGTGAGTATGAATTTATAGGTTGGTGCGAAAATATTGTCATTTCCTGGCCAACTGTCAGCAGATGAAGAATTTCATTATGGCTAATGTAGCCATCCACAATTGCTTTGTCTTAAGCCAGGATCTTTACATTGTTCTTTTTAGAGGGACGCAAGGGGTCAGAAAAGTCAAGATGGTGGCTGCAACCACATCTTCCAAGCCCCGTTTCTTCTATATACTATGGCAGCTATCTTGATTTCTTTTACTCTCCTCCACAGATGTGTTTGGCCTTTAACACAGGGATCTCCAATCTTGACCACTTTAAGACTTGTGGACTTCAACTCCCAGAATTCCTCAGCCAGCCATGCTGGTTGGGGAATTCTAGGAGTTGAAGACCACAAGTCTTAAAGTGGCCAAGGTTGGAGAGACCTGCTCTAAAGCATTTGTCTCTAAAGGTGACTGTTTTGAACCATGTTTCATTTGGTCTGACATCTGTTTCACCATTGTGCTACACCTATGAATGAAATTCTAGCTTTAACATGAGAGTTGGGGGTCACCCAATAGGTTAAAGCAATGGCTGGTCTCTCAACCAAAGCTGAACCCCAAATTACCAAATCCAATTTAGCTTAGTCTAAGACAGGGGTGTCAAACTCGCAACATCACGTGACGTGTTGCAACGTATCATGACTTTTTTTCCATTGCTGGCAATGGGGTGAGTGTGGTTTTGGCTCGACGCATCCGGCTTGCAGGCCGGCAGTTTGACACCCCTGGTCTAAGAGGTTGTGTAACTTCCACTTGTGTAACTTCCACTGGGTTCAGCAGACAACAAAGCATAATGTAGTGAAATTCACACTCAAATTAGTTCATCCCATTCTGACAGGCTGCATCAGCATGCCTGCATCTCTAAAACTGCAGAAATTTCCGGTGCTTTTCTCTTCCTTCTTGCACCCTTTCCCATTTCAAGCCATTTCATTCCAGTGATCGGAATCATCCAGGAATATTTAGCATCCATTTTAAGCCCCCAATCACTCTCGAAATCCAGTGTGTTTTGTGAGTTCCTTGGCACTGGATGTATTAATGCTGTGTCTGATTCTGTCTCTGCAAAGCAGACTCTGTCTTTCTTAACTGACAGAGGAGAATATTAGTAGCTCAGGGTTGAAATGAGGGGTCCTTGATGCTCTCTGAGCCCGGTTGTTTTCTTGCAGACTTCTTTACCCAAGCTAGGTAACATTATCAGTGTACCAGTGATACACTGATGATGTTATCTAGTTGGGTAATGAAAGGTCTACAAGAAAACAACCAGGTCAGAGAGTAAGGAACCCTTTAGTAACTCCTCCAGGAAGACCTGGAGGAATGTTGTCCATGGGGTCATGATGGGTTGGACACGACTTCACAACTAACAACAACAACAAATAACTCTTTAGCTTTCATGTCATGTAAATGCAGAACAAAGATGAATGTGTCAGGCAGCCATTTTGGTGCAAAGAGAATGGAGTTAGTTACAAGGATCAAAAATGCACCCAACATTTTTTTTATTCTTGGACTGACATATTAGCAGTTTTAGAATAAATGCTTCTTTATTGCTGCTTATTAGAGTTAAGCAGGTGAGGGGTGATTTGAAGGCTGCCAAAAAGTTTGGGATTTTAAAGAAGAAAGTACCAAGTTCAGATGCAGGTTTAAAAGGAGAAATATTTCCAACAGAATTTCTTTTTCTCAGATATGTGCTGTTTTCTTTTGTCTCTAGATACCAACAAATCTTACACAGAAATCTGGTTTACTTGGCCACCATAGCAGACTCTAATCAGAATATGCAGTCCTTGCTGCCTGCTGTAAGTATCTGCATGTAAATCAACCCAAGTTTATTACTGAATGAGCCATTTAAGAGAACTCTGTTAGTTTGTGCAAAATCCTTTGGTTGTGCTTTATGAGAGTTGGGGGGAGCAACCAGAAATGCACCTGATATGGGTTGGAGTGGAATTAATCTTTTGTGTTGTGGACCAAGCGATGTGGAGCGTGGTTTATATTTATACATTGGAGCAGGGGTCTTCAAACTTAGCCCTTTTGTGACTTGTGGACTTCAACTCCCAGAATTCCTCAGCCAGCTTGCCTGGCTGAGGAATTCTGGGAGTTGAAGTCCAAAAGTCATAAAAGGACCAAGTTTGAAGACCCCTGCATCGGAGCAACTGAAAACACACAATTGATCTAATAAAGGAGAATATCTGTAGCTCTGGGTTGAAATGAGGGGTCCTTGGTGCTCTCTGAGCTTTGTTGTTTTCTTGCAAATATTTCATTACCTAACAAGGTAACATCATCCGTGTGTCATTGATGCACTGATGATGTTATCTTATTAGATAATGAAACATTTTCAAGAAAACAACCAAGCTCAGAGAGCACCAAGGACCCACACTTCACAATATGACCATGTAACACCTCTGTGAGCCTCCCAGGAGACTTCCAGTGCAACTCAAGGTGCTGGTGATCCCCTGCAAAGCTCTGCATGGCCCAGAACCAGGTTATTTACAGCAGAGGTCCCCAAACGTTTGGATACCAGGGACTGGTTCTGTGGAGAAAGGTTTTTCCACGGACCAGAGAATGCGTCGTTTTGTGTGGTGCCTGCATCCCACGGATGGGACTTTGCTTGTTTGTGCGGACCAGTTGCTGACATGCCGTGGCCCAGTACCGGTCCAGGGACCGGGGATTGGGGGGACCCCTGATTTACAGGACCATCTGTCTCCCTCTCTACTTGCTATAGTACAGTGATGGCGAACCTTTTAGAGACCGAGTGCCCAAACTGCAACCCAAAACCCACTTATGTATCGTCGGGTGCCGGATGGGTGTGGCCAATTGGGTGGGCATGGCCTGTTGGGTGGGCGTGGCTGCGGTGGTAACGGCAGACTGGGTGGGACTAAAAAGTTCAATCAATCAGTTCCAACTTTGTGAGATCTTTTTTTTTTCCCTGCGAGAATTGCAATTGATTGATTGATTGAACCTTTTTTTTTTTGTACACGGCGGCGGAGGCCTAAAGCGAAAAGGTTTTATAAAACCCAGCTGAAGGCCTAGGACTGGGGCAACGGTGCACGTGCCCACAGAGTGGGCTCTGCGTGTCACCTGTGGCACGCGTGCCATAGGTTCGCCACCACGGTGCTATACCATACCAGAACTGTCAAAGTTGATGTCTTCTGGGTCCTATTTATTAGACAGTGCCATCTAGAGGCACCTAGGAGTTATGTCTCTTTTATTGTACCTAAAACAGCATCCCTGACCCTGTTGGCTTCCTGGGTAAGGCTTTAAAGACTTAGATGTGCCCACACTTTTTTTTCTTCCAACCAAACCTAAAACATAGATAATGATGATGATGATGATGATTTGTCTATTGTTTACATTACATCTTGCTCTTTTATTTAAATTCTGGGTGAGCAACTGTATCTAGAGTCACCATGGTAAGATGAGTAAATAGAGGTAGCCCTCAACGTATGACCACAATTGAGCCCAAAATTTATGTTGCTAAGTGAGAAATTTGTTAAGTGAATTTTGCCTCATTTTACGACTGTTCTTGCCACATTTGTTAAGTGAATCGCTGCAGTTGTTAAATTAGTAACAGTGTTGTTAAGTGAATCCGGCTTCCCCATTGACTTTGCTTGTCAGAAGGTCGCAAAAGGGGATCATGTGACCTCAGGACACAGCAACCATCATAACTATGAATCAATTGTCAAGTGTCCGAGTGTAAATCATATGACCATGGGGATGCTGCAATGGTCACAAGCGTGAAAAGCGGTCATAAGACACATTTTTCAGTGCCGCTGTAATTTCAAACAGTCTCTAAATGAACTATTGTAAGTCGAGGACTACCTGTATATAAGTCATATCAATCCATCCTTCTAGATCCCCCCCAAAAACTTCTGGTTCCTTTAAGAGAATCCCCCAACTTTTCGGGGTTAGCGGCTTGGAGTGAAGGGAGAGGGCAAAGAAGCGATGGTTTTGTGTGGGGGGTGAACACAAGCCGACGGGTGTGTATGTGCGTGCATGAACACCTGTTGCTTGCATGAGTGGGGCCGTGAGCGTTCATACAAGTGGGGTCATGAGCACTCGCAGCAACACTCGAGTGGGGCTGTGTGCACAAGTGCACACATGCACTGGCCAGCCACTGATGTGGCCCGGTGGCCAATAGGCTGCATCCAGTAGTGGGCCACGGCCCACAGGTTGAGGACCCTTCTTTAAGAAACACCTTGTCTTCTTGTTCCTATCTTACAGCCACCAACACAAAACATGAACCTCGGCCCAGCTGGAATGAGTCAGAGTGCCTCCAGTCAGTCTCTCCATTCACAAAGCAACCTCAGTGATGCCATCAGCACGGGGCTTCCAGCATCCTCTCTCATGCAGAGCCAGATTACCAATGGTAAGAGTTCCACGGTTGCCTGGCAACTGCATCACAGATGCTTGGAGCGGGCTTTGCAACCAATCAGGGTGGAGTGCTTAGAGCCTAATGCAGTGTTTCTCAGCCTTGGCCACTTGAAGAGGCGTGGAGTTCCAACTCCCAGAATTCCCTAGTCAACCAGTGCTGGCTGGGGAATTCTGGGGAGGTGAAGTCCACATCTCTTAAAGTTGACGAGGTTGAGCAACATTGGCCCAATGCATTTCAAAAACTATGGAAGAAGTTTGCATGTTTGCCGTTTATATAGCAGCAGCTGGGATTCTGCCACCGCAACTTTTTCCCACAGGATACCCAGAATGTGGGAAGCTAAGCGTGAAAATGTTGATCCAGTCTCAAATCAGCGCAAAACCATTTCTCCTTACGTTGCATTACAAGAACATTCCAGAAAATGTTTGTGTAGTATGGAAGAAAAAAGATGACAAATCTCTGTCTGTCTGTCTGTATCTATCTGTCCGTCCATCCATCCATCCATCCATCCATCCATCTATCCATCTATGCATCCGATTTAGAGGCCTCTTGAATTCCCAGACAATTCTGGCCAACTAACATCCCAAAGCGAGAAACAATAAAACGAAGGAAGAAAGCACATGTATCTTGGATAGATGTCTACCCTACTTACTTGCCATTTACCATAAAAAGATAAAATCATACAACTAAGAACAAAATGAGATTATGAGGAATTAAAAATCTGTCTAAGAGAAGTGCATTTTTAGGACTTTTTAAAAATGAGCTGAGAGCTTAGTTCCCTCAACTCAACAAGGATTATGTTACAGGGAATTGAGCTAGATCCAGAGAAAGTGACACAAATATATATGTGTATGTGTGTGTATGTGTGTGTGTGTGTGTGTGTGTGTGTGTGTGTGTGTCTGTCTGTCTGTCTGTCTGTCTATCTATCTATCTATCTATCTATCTATCTATCTATCTATCTCTATATATTTCTCTCTCTCTCTCTCTCTCTCTCTCTCTCGACATTCTGATTGATCAAAGGGTATGTTTTGTAAACCAGAGCATCTTTTTCCTGCTTGCCTTCTACCTAGGTCCCAACCATGTGTCTATGCAGCAGTCGGGCCAGAACACCCTTCCCACGACCTCCTTGAGCATGAGTCTCAGCAGCCATGGAACTGGGCCCAGTTATAGTCACACAGTGCCTGCGTCTCAGACCGTTGCCCTGCAAGGCCAGGGATCAATCGGCAACTACGTCTCGCGAGCCAATCTCAGCATGCAGTCCAACCCAGGTACAGTGGACTGTATCTTTGCCCTTTTGCCCTACTTTGGCCAAAGCAGCCTCTTTGATCTCCCAAGTGCCCAGCTTGGCTTTCAATAATTGCAATCGATTCATTGCACTAATTAATTAATTAAACTACCCAACGAGATGCAAGTGCAGTGGTGAGAAAAGTAAAGTCCTGCACTTAGGCAGGAAAAAGCAAATGCAGAGGTCTAGAATAGGAGTATACCTGGCTCAACCGTGAAGAGGGATCTAGGTGTTAATATTAACATGGGTTCCTTTCTCTGGAACGTAGCATGTTCGGTCAACCCAAGCAGCCTTAATTAATGGTGATAGTGGTTTAGGACTTTGTGCAAATTCAGTTAATTCAGCAGCCAAGTTAAGCGTGTCACGGGAAACCAGCCTGCATTTTTTTGTGTGTGTTGCAGTTTCCATGATTCACCAGCAAGCAGCAACATCACATTACAACTCTGCACAACCAGGAACTCAACATTACCAAGGGCAGTCTTCCATTGCCATGATGAGCCAGAGTAATCAAGGAAACAGCCTCATGGGGCAGAGGCCAATGGGCTCTTATAGAGCTTCACAGCAAGGTGAGTGCAAAAAAGTGGTTTCCAGATCGATAAAGATTCCCAGAGACTGTTGTGTAAATAGCAAGGAGCAATGTTCTCAATACTCGTGAGGCTCCCTGCCTGTGGCACCCCAAGGACAGCTGTTGGAAACAAAATAACAGACACACTAATGTATGAATTGGTTCAGTTGGCAGAATTTGTGGACCCCCCCCCTTTGATATTAATAAATCTTGCTAAAAGGTACTCTGAAAAATCATAGTTGGAAAAGAATTATTTTAATTCCAGTCACTGCTAAAAGGCTTGATGAGAGCAATAGCAGTAGTACTTAGACTTATATACCACCTCACAGTGCTTTTACAGCAATCTCTGGGTGGTTCACAATGTAGAACCATTATTTGCATACTGTCCCAACAATCTGGGTCTTCGTTTTACCGACCTCAGAAGGATGGAAGGCTGAGTCAATCTTGAGCCGGTCAGGATCGAACTCCAGACTGTGGGCAGCATTTGCTGCATTACTGCATTCTAACCACTGGATCAGTCCTTATTAAACCTTCTCCTTTGAGCAGTTTGGTGTAATGGTTAAGGCATCAGGGTAGAAATTGGGAGACCGTGAGTTCTAGTCCTGCCTCGGACATGAAACTCCTCCTTTGAGCAGTTTGGTGTAATGGTTAAGGCAGCGGTTCTCAACCTATGGGTCGCGACCCCATTTGGGGTCGATCGACCATTTCACGGGGGTCACCAAGCAAGGCTGTCCGCCATTTTTTTCCCCTTTTCCAGCGGGTGCCTTACCTCCCTTGGGCTGGGCCAGCTGGGCCAACCCAACCCTTGGGCTGGGCCAGCTGGGCCAACCCATTTTCGTTTTACACCACTTTATTTCCAATTTCTCGAATAGATGTTAGTTTATTTATGTATTAATACCTATAATAAGATACAAAAATATGAAAGAAAATAGTAGGAAAGATAAGGGAAGGGAAAAGGGTGGGGAAAAAGAGGGAAAAAGAAAGAAAAGTCGTTGACTTCCGACTCCCTTCGGTGCAGTAGAATAACATAATAACATCAACCTCAACTTTTACTTTTGCATAATAGTATACACTACAGGGGTAGGCAACCTTGGCTCTTTTATGACTCGTGGACTTCAACTCCCAGAATTCCTGAGCCAGCATAGATGCCTACCCCTGCACTAGCCATTTCTATAACAACAAACCTATCTAATCAGTAAAACCCAAAATCAAAGTTTCATTTTTTTACCCACCTCGAGCACAAAGTCCAGAAGCTGTTTCAAGCAGAAACAAAAGTAACTGTATTTTTGTCTTTAATAAAAGCCATCAGTTTAGCCATCTCTGCTAACTCCATCAATTTCTGCAGCCATTCATCCATTGTTGGAATCAAACTGCCCTTCCATTTTGTGCATAAAATAATCTTGCTGCCATCAACATATATAGCATCAAAGTTCCAATTTTTTTCCCCAAGTCTTTTTCCATTAAACCCAGAAGGAAGTTTTCTGGTTTTATCTTTATATTCACTTTGAGAATCTTCTGTATTAAAATTTGAATCCTATTGCAATAGGATACTTCGCTATAAGCAGTAAACGGTCCCTTCTTTACTTTTATATTTCCAACATTCATTTGAAATACCTTTATACATTCTTGACAACTTATTTATGCTAAATACCAACGATGCATCATCTTATAAAAAAATTTCTTTTAAGTTACAATTTAATGTAAATTTTAAACCTTTTGTCCACATATTCTCCCATTGTTCAAGCATGAGATTATATCAACAATTTCTTGCCTGCTGAATCATGCAGTGCTTTTACATGTTTGTTCTCCAAATCCAAATTCAATAACAATTTGAAAACGGTAGCAATAAATCCTACCACACAGTAGGATTTCCGATTCGTTTTTCACAAAATCAAACCCATAACTCTTTTTGTCTGCTTTAAATCTTTCAATCTACCGTATATAAATAAAAATGTAAATGTTCGTTTGTTCAAAATCTTAAATCTCCGAAGGTTCTTCACTGATTGCTTTGAAATTTTGACACAACGTTGCATTCGAATACGCGCGTGTTTTTATATACTTATATTATATAAATGTCACACCTGTGACAGATAAAAACATGCTTTTTGTGAAAAACAGCACCATCTGTTGGACATAAAAGCAACACACGCTACGATTTCAGACACTCTCTATATCTGCACAGACAATGGAACAAAAAATATTGTATATCCACAAGCATTGTAAAATTAAACATATTACAAACATGCGCTTTCTCTTTTCTTTCTTTTCCATTTAACCAGACTGAGCCACAGCAATGCGTGGCCGGGAACAGCTAGTTGTAAATATTGGCAGACACATCCTTCTGTTATTTAACATTTTTAAAAACATTAACCCCTTTTTCGTTACAACATTTTATTCTTAATTTCTCACCAGGTTTCCTGATCTGACTTAATGATATTCTTCAGTTGCCTATAAAATAGCTAAGGCTAGAGCAGGGGTAGGCAACCTTGGCTCTTTTATGTCTTGTGGACTTCAACTCCCAGAATTCCTGAGTCAGCATGGCTGGTTCAGGAATTCTGGGTATTGAAGTCAACAAGTCATAAAAGAGCCAGGGTTGCCTACCCCTGGGCTAGAGTCATAAAAACATCTTTTCAACTCTAATCCAAATGTAGGCATTTTCAAAGCTGCTGATGGTCTTAATATTTTCTGTGTCTTTCAGGTTCTTCTCAGCAGTACATGGGTCAGGAGGAATATTATAGTGAGCAATACAGTCATGGACAAGGATCTTCGGAATCCATGAACCAGCAATATTATCCTGACGGTAATGGTGCTGACCAGGGGAAGATGTATGCCCACATGTCACTGAATTGGAAGAGGCTTAGGACATAAAATAAAACGATAAACTAGAGGCTATTTCTCATGCTCTGAAGCTATGACCTGAATATAATTGATTTTAATTTAAACTACAGATTGTCCTCAACTTATGACCACAATGGAGCCCAGAATTTTTCTGTTGTTAAGTGAGACATTGCCCATCCTAGCTGAATCAGAATCAGAATAGAGCTGGAAGGGACCTTGGAGGTCTTCTAGTGACAATCCCCTGCTCAAGCAGGAGACCCTATACTATTTCAGACAAGTGACTGTCCAGTCTCTTCTTAAAAACCTCCAGTGATGAAGCACCCACAACTTCTGGAGGCAAGCTGTTCCACTGGTTAATTCTTCTCACTGTTCAGAAGTTTTTTCTTAATTCCAGGTTGCTTCTCTCCTTGATTAGTTTCCATCTGTTGTTTCTTGTCTTGCTCTCTGGTGCTTTGGAAAATAAGTTGACCCCCTTTCTCTTTGTGGCAACCTCTCAAATACTGGAATGCTGATATCATGTCCCCCCTAGTCCTGCAACCGTTCTTCATATGTTTTTGTCTCCAGGCCCTTAATCATCTTAGTTGCTCTTCTTTGCACTTTTCCCAAAGTCTCAGCATCTTTTTTGTAATGTGGTGACCAAAACTGGATGCAGTATTCCAGGTGTGGCCTTACAAGGCTTTATAAAGCTGTACTAATATTTCATGTGTTTCATGTGAAGCTGGGGGATTTTAAGTAGTGAAGTCCACAGGAATATGTGGGGGCTGGTAAAAGACTATATGTTACAATTCAGGATGCCTTTTTTGTTCCTTTTTACTTGGGCCTGACATCGTATGCAAGTATGGAAACTAATCAAGGAGAGAAGCAACCTAGATCTAAGGAGAAATTTCTTGACACTCAGAACACTTAATCAGTGGAACAACCTGCCTCAGGAATTTATGGGTGCTCAAATACTGGAAGTTTTTAAGAAGAGACTGGACAACCATTTGTCTGAAATGGCATAGAGTTTCCCCTTGAGCAGTGGGGTTGGACTAGAAGACCTCCAAGGTCCCTTCCAACTCTGTTATTCTGTTATGAAAAGGCAGGAATTTGCACTCTGACATCACAATATTTCTACAAAATTCCAGCTTGCTGCAGACATCCCTGTGAATTGTTGCAACACATCTGGAAGGCACCAAGTTAGGGACATAACATCTGTTCTGGAAATTGTATGACCTTCCTGGAAAGTACTTTAGCACCTCCTCTGAGTAGTTGTATCCCATTCAATATAGTGTGACCTGTCACAATGCCAGCAGAGATGGTGCAGGGGGTGCCTGCAGGCAGGGGGCCAAAAAAGTCAACATGGCAGCCAGCAACATACGACTGAAGCCCCATCCTTTTTACACGCATCACAGCTCTGAGTTGGTGAAGGTAAATGTGAGAAAAAATATCCCTGGACACAATAAACATGATTTGCCTAGATCAGGGGTAGGCAACCTTGGCTCTTTTATGACTCGTGGACTTCAACTCCCAGAATTCCTGAGCCAGCCCTGCTGAGGGGAAAGGGAGAGGTTTCCAAGCTGAGCCATGCTGTCTCAGGAATCCACGAGTCATAAAAGAGCCAAGGTTGCCTACCCCTGGCCTAGATGATTAAAAAAGAGCAGAAACATATAAGCAGAAACCCTGTTATAGTCTCTGCTCCTGAGAATTTCATAAGCTGTCTTTCTCATTAGATGTGAATTTCACTATTCTAAAATTCAGACACTTATAATCAGTTTTTATTTTAGACGCCCACTTCTAAAGTCTGCTGTCTTTTTTCTCAACAGTCAAGGCAGTTTTATTCAACTATCTTTCAGTAATTTGATCCTGTAAAACTGGAAAAAATTATTGGCATTTCCTTTTTCTATGAAAAATTGCAATTTGTAAAAAGGTGCAAAGTTTCTCTAATAGTTTGTAGCAGCAAACTCCCAACACCTAGAATGCATTCAGGCAATCTGTAATTAGAATGATACACAAATGAAGATAAAAATATGGCATAAAGGGTCCCTTCTCCATTTTACCATGTGATATATGCCTCTTCCTTTTCTAAATCATAGAAATCATTTTCTTTAAACTCTGTTTGTGGCATCGCTTTTATGGGGTTTTGTTTTGTTTTGTTTTGTTATCTGAAAATAGGCCACGGTGATTATGCGTATCAGCAGTCGTCTTATTCTGAGCAAAGCTATGATCGATCATTTGAGGACTCCACACAGCACTATTACGAAGGAGGTAAGGGGATCAGTTATCTTACAAATCAAATCACCTGAAGGCAGGACAAGAAGCAATGGGTGGAAACTAATCAAGGAGAGAAGCAACCTAGAACTAAGGAGAAACTTCCTGACAGTTAGAACAATTAACCAGTGGAACAACCTGTCTCCAGAAGTGGTGAATGCTCCAACACTGGAAGTTTTTAAGAAGAGGACAGCCATTTGTCTGAAATGGTATATAGCAGTGGTGGCGAACCTGTGGCACGGCTGCCAGAGGCGGCACTCAGAGCCCTCTCTGTGGGCACACGGGCCGTCGCTCCAGTCCTAGGCCTTTAGCTGGGTTTTATAAAACCTTTTCGCTTTAGGCCTCTGCCGCCATGTACAAAAAAAAAAAAGGTTCAATTAGTCAATTTCAACTTCTCGCGGGAAAAAAAAAAGATCTTGCAAAGTTGGAATTGATTGATTGAACTTTTTAGTCCCACCCAGTCTGCTGTTACCATTGCAGCCACGCCCACCCAATGGGCCACACCCATCCAATGGGCCACGCCCACCGGGCACCTTACCATGCATAAGTGGGTTTTGGGTTGCAGTTTGGGCACTTGGTCTCTAAAAAGTTCGCCATCACTGGTATATAGGGTTTCCTGACTGAGCAGGGGGTTGGACTAGATGACCTCTAAGGTCCCTTCCAACTTTATTAATATTGTTGTTGTTGTTGTTGACTTTGGACAGTCCTTCCTTTCTCAGCCCAAGGAAGAAGAAGACAAGGGCAAAGCAGTCCTAATAACTAAGAAAACTGTAGTGACTGGTTCAGGCAGTTGCCAGGAGGCAAAACTGACTCATGCAAAGACACATATAGAGTAACAGAACAACCAAGATGATCCGGGGCTTAGAAGCTATAACATACAAAGAATGATTGCAGGAACTAGTATACCCAGTCTAGTGAAAAGAAGGACTAGGGGTGACATGATAGCAGTCTTCCAATACTTAAAAGGACTGCCACAAGGAAGAGGGAGTCAAGCTATTCCCCAAAGCGCCTGAAGGCAGGAGAAGAAGCAACGGATGGAAACTAGCCAAAGAGAGAAGCAACCTAGAACTAAGGAGAAACTTCCTGACAGTTAGAACAATTAATAAATGGAACAACCTGCCTCCAGAAGTGGTAAATGCTCCAACACTGGAAGTTTTTAAGAAGAGACTGGACAGCCATTTGTCTGAAATGGTATAGGGCTTCCTGCTTGAGCAGGGGGTTGGACTAGATGACCTCCAAGGTCCCTTCCAACTTTATTATTACTATTATTACTACTACTATTATTATTATTTGTTATTATTATTTGTTATTATTTGTTATTATTATTTGTTGTTATTATTGTTATTACCTTCCCTGTGTATATTATAACCCTGCCAATCCATTGTGCTGATCTGTTGTCTTTTAGGGAATTCCCAATACAGCCAACAGCAAGCCGGATACCAACAAGGAGCTGCCCAGCAGCAAACGTATTCCCAGCAGCAATACTCAAATCAACAAACTTATCCAGGACAACAGCAAGGATACGGTGAGAACACCCCATCCTGCCTTTTGTTTGCCAGAAAATGTCAATTCTGACTTCAGTTTCTCAGGGAGAAATTCTTAACAGGCACTGTCCCCAGAACCTTTGTGTCCATATCAGATGGTGCTGAAAAAGACTGACCAGGTTCAGATGTGATTTGTTTCTTGGTGGTTTGATGTATAGTTATCCAACGATGATAGTATACTCAATATAGGTAGTCCTCGACTTACAGCCATTCATTTATTGACCGTTGGAAGTTACTATGGCACTGAAAAAGTGTGAGATTTTTCACACGGTTCTCACACGACTGCTGCAGCCTCCCCGTGGTTGCGTGATCAAAATTTGGGTGCTTGGCAACTGGCATGTATTTGTGGTGGTCGCACTGTCCTGGAATCATGTGATCACCATTTGTGACCTTCACAACTGGCTTCTGACAAGCAAAGTCTCTGGGGAAGCCAGATTCGTAACAATCACACAAGTAATTTAACGACTGCAGTGAATATCTTAACAACCTGGGCAAAAAAGATTGTAAAATGTCTTGCATAACAACTGTCTTGCTTAGCAGTAAAAATGTTGGGCTCACAACTGGAAGGCAGGTTACTCAGTATGATGGGAATCTGAGGGGAGACTTTCACACCAATCCAGATTAAACTAAACACTCCAGTTATGCACTTTTGGTCCAAGGCTGAACAATAACCTCAGTGAATTAGCACATTGATTCTAACTGCTGCAATTAGCCAGGCTGTAAAGGAGTTCAGTACATAAAGACACACAAGCTAATGGTTGTAACTCAGATCAAGACTTTCACACAAAGCAAAACCGTAAGGGGGTTCTTGCCTCACAACTGGAACAAAAAATATGTCAAGTCTACAGAAAGTACCTGAAAGATAGATAGCTTGAAGAGCTTAGAAAGAAGTCCTTTATTTCAGAGCTGAATTCCTGGCCAGCAATCAAAAGCCAGGGATGACTTCACAAGAGGAACTATAAGGTAAAGAAAGGCAGGTCAAGGAGCAAGAGAGTTGTTTCCAACAAAGATGAAGGTCCAGGAGTTGTTCTGGTGTTGAATACAGGTAGTCTGTCATGGTTCCGATAGATGAAACTCTTCAAAAGAACTTCGAGGCATTGTTTACCTTAAAGAATCTTTTCTTCGAGAAACAAAGTATCGCCACTACATAGTTGAAACCAAAAACTAAATTCCCCTCCCTTGGGTAAAAAGTAACAAAGCACAATTCCCTCCTCCAATAAACAGTCATAAATCACATTTCCCAATTAGCTTGAAGCCTGCCAAAACTCTATCAACTCTGGGTCCAATGACCTTGGGTTCCCATGGCTAAGTTATTATTGTTATGACTAGCTGGACTCTCATCCACATTCTCCCTCCCAGCATCATCTAACTCTAAAAGCAATAGAGGAAAATGGCTGCATTTCCATCTGTTGTCAAAGCAAAAATATCCGATGTTAGCAGCGTTGGCATCCGCCCCCTCCCCCTTACAAAAAGGACAAATCCTGTAATACAAACAAAAGCACAGGTTAGAGGTTGTCTCTTGGTTTGTTAGGGTGTTTCTTATAGAACCTATTAATGAGTCTGTCAGCTTTTACATCGCTAGATTTCACCCAGGTGGCCTCAGACAACGGATATCCCTTCCATTGCATTAAGTACTGCAATTTCCCTTTAAAAATTCTTCAATCAGTGAGTCTGTCCTGCCACTATGAGAGGTCCTGTTGCCTTCTTAGGGAGAGGTCTTAAGGTGGAATCCTGAAAAAGTTTGCAGGCGATCCAAGTGCCCGTTTCCTTCGGCTAAACCTCCCGATTGCTAAATGTGAAAAGTCCAGTCACAGAAAACCAGCAAACCAAAGAATACAGAAGTTGGGATTTGATCCCTGTCTTTTGAACTCTTGTCAAACATTCTGCTGTTTCTTTTTTTCCCCCTCAGGACCTGCCCAAGGAACTTCGTCACAATATTCTAGTTACCAACAAGGACAGGGCCAACAGTACGGAAGCTACAGAGCTTCACAAACTGGACCATCTGCACAGCAACAGAGGTCTTATGGCTATGAACAGGTAAGCCGGGAAGGGATTGAGCTGACATGAAATGCGTTGGGCTGGGCGAAATGAAAAATCGTAGACCCAAAGAGCATTGGGAAGCTCCAGGTGTGGGAGCTTTACTCCTGAAAAAGAAATAGTTGAGAAATAAGACTTATTTGCTTGAACAACTTGTTTTCAGGGCAGACCATCTGTATTCTACTGTATTTTCACAGTAACCTTATGCCTACTCTGAAATATGTAGTGAAATTTATTTTCATTTCACTCAAGGGGGTCAACGGTATTGCACCCACAATATTCCAGTAGGGTATCTGTGCGCTCCCAAAATTAAACCAGAAGAGGTACCTCTTAAAAAAGTGAAACTAGATGAAAGTGAGGTTCCTTGAAAGAGAAATCACCAAGAATGAATGAAATTTGGAGTATTTTTTTTTTTTTAAAAGTATTTAAGAAAAAAAAAGATGGTATTTGGGAAACAATCGGTACAGGTAGTCCTCGACGTACGGCCACAATTGAGCCCAAAATTTCTGTTGCTAAGCGAGATACTTGTTAAGTGAGCTTTGCCCCACTGTATGACTTTGCTTGCCACCGTTGTTAAATGAATCACTGCAGTTGTTAACGTTAGGAAAACGCTTGTTAAGTGAATCTGGCTTCCCCATTGAGCTTGCTTGTCAGAAGGTGACAAAAGGGGATCACATGACCGGGGACACTGCTAGTGTCATCAGTATGAGTCAGTTGCCAAGCCTCTGAGTTTTGGTCACGTGACCCTGGGGATGCTGCCACGGTCCTAAGTGTGAAAAACGGCCATGTCACTTTTTTCAATGCTGTTGTAACTTCGAACGCTCACTAAAGAAATGGTTGTGAGTCAAAGGCTACCTGTACTTTCCGAAATTTTTGTTCTGTTCTCCCTTGAGATATTTTTCCCAATCTTATTAACTCTAAGCATGGGGAAGGTTGTCTCTGTGCCTTTCTTCTCCAGTCCTGATCACTTTTGAGAAAATCTGACAGATATTTGGAAAGTTTGTCCTTGACAAACTAAGGAGAAATTTCCTGACAGTTAGAACAATTAACCAGTAGAACAACCTGCCTCCAGAAGTGGTGAATGCTCCAACACTGGAAGTTTTTAAGAAGAGACTGGACAGACTATTTGTCTGAAATAGTATAGGGTTTCCTGCCTGAGCAGGGGGTTGGACTAGATAACCTCCCAGGCCCCTTCCAACTTTATTATTATTATTATTATTGTTGTTGTTGTTGTTGTTATTATTATTATTATTATTATGTCCTTAAATTCTGTAAAGGAAAGGGGGGGATTGTACTTTACACTGTGCGTAGAAATGAATTATTACATTAATTCCTCTCTCTTATTCACTTTCCCAATGTTTAACAGGGCCAGTATGGAAACTATCAGCAATAAAATGACAAGCGCCTGTGTCACCTTTGTTTTCAATATTTATGTCCATTTTTTTGGAACTTGGATGTATGGGCAAGTCTTTTTTTTTTAATGATTGATGATGGATCGTAAGATGTTGGATACCGCTGTAGCACAGAGAAGCGTTTGTATGTGAAATAGTATTCATTTCATGCTGGATATGAAACAGTGCATTACAGTACTGGCAACGAGGCAATGTTTGGATGGTCTGGTACATTTTGGTGCTGCTGTTAATAATCCTTGCAGAAGTTCTTCCATCACTTTTTGCCACCTCCTCTTTTGAGGTATAAAGTTGGAGAAACCAAGAGGTCACATAGCATTTTTTTTATCTGCTTATTATTTTTTTTCACAATATCATTGGCAGCCTAGCCTCCTTCGGATCCGATGGACCACTACCCAGCGGGAAGTTCTTTATGGGCTGTATGACAAGCATATAACTGAATATATCTTTCATTTTCTGTTCACCCAACTGGTTTGGCATTGGGATATCCCAACCCAGATGTGTTTCAGCTATTCCCAGGGGCACTTCCTTTGAAATAGGTTGCTCTTCGTTAGATTCGAATTGGGCTCAGTGTATTCTAAAATCTACTTAATTGAGCTAGGATGGAAATCACAGCTACTGGGATGTAGCGATATATATTTGAGATTGGGACAGTAATTTTGTATATGACTCATTCATCTTCAATTTGTTAGGACATAGAACAGCGGTTCTCAACCTGTGGGTCGCGACCCCATTTGGGATCGAACGACCATTTCACGGGGTCGCCAAACAACACAGTCCGCCATTTTTTCCCTCTTTTCCTTAGCTGTGCTTCTCCCTTTTATTCTATTGGCTTTCGAAAGCCAATAGAATAGACTCTCTCGAATAGAGTCTAATTCTATTGGCTTTCAAAAGCCAAAAGGAATTGTCCAGGCTGTCTCTGCCCTGTTGAGCCCGCCAAAAGTCCCATTCTGCAAACGGTGCTGCAAGTTGTCTGCAGCGAAGGCGAGCTGTCTGAAAGTTTCCACCCCTCCCTGCTGAGCAACTACTAAAAATGTAAGTAAAAGAGGGCCAGGGGTGGGAGGTGGGAGGCCGGCGGACGCAGGGAGGATTGCTGGCACGCGTGGGGCCCGGCGGGTGCCTTACCTCCCTTGGACTGGCCCAGCTGGTGGCCCAGCCGGTGGTTGGCCTGCTCCATCTCTGCCGCTTGCCAGCTACGCCTCGGCCAGCACAGGGGGCGGCACCACGCATGCGTGGTGCTCCCGGGCAGGAAAAGTCCTCGACTTACGACCGGTTGGGTAGTCCTCGACTTATGACCGGTTGGGTAGTCCTCGACTTACGACCGGTTGGGTAGTCCTCGACTTACGACCGGTTGGGGTCGCGGCATTAAAAAGGTTGAGAACCATTGACATAGAATAATAGGGTTGGAAGGGACCTTGAGGCTCTTAATTTTCCAACCACCTGCCCAAGCAGGAGACTGTATACCATTTTGGATAAATTACAGGTAGTTCTTGACTTACAGCCACAATTGAGCCCAACATTTCTGTTGCTAAGCGAGACATTTATTAAGTGAATTTTGCCCTATTTTATGACATTAGTGACATGGTTTTTAGGTGAATCTGGCTTCCCCACTGACTTTGCTTGACAGAAGGTCACAAAAGGGGAACACATGACCCTGGGGCACTGCAACCGTCATAAGTATGAGTCAATTGACAAGCATCTGAATTTTGATGATGTGGCTATGGGGATACTGCCGTGGTCATAAGTGTGAAAAATAATCTTAACTCACTTTTTTCAAAGTGCTGTTGTAACTTTGAATGCTCACTAAATGAACTGTTACAAGTCAAGGACGACCTGTATTTGATTATTTGATTGCTGGAATTTATTCTTAAATTAACACTGGAATAGACCTGGAGGTGGGATGTGTCTTGGCCTTATCGCTCCTGACAAATCAATACCAAGGAAATATTTATTTGCAGAAACATTGGCAAATGTTACAAGAAATGTATATTGACCCAAAGGTACTTTTTTTCCAAAAGGCAACTGGACTTTCGTGTTTTGCTTGAAGACATTTTGCTTCTCATTCAAGAAGCTTCCTCAGTTCTGACTGAATGGTGGAGAATGGTAGGATTTAAATTCCTTTCATCAAGGAATATAAGCACCTTTGGGACAACCAGGACTTGGATAACTGAAAATCTCCATAGACAAATGTACATTGAGCTTCTAGGAAAAGGTGCTTAATTTTCATACTATGATTTTGGGGTTTTTTTCTCCAGCAGATTAAAATTATTAATGTGTATTAAAAATACACATTTAACATGTGTATTTTCACTTTAGTTAACCACCCTATGCTCCCCTCAAAAAACCTACTGTTTTTTTTCTGCCAGTCAGCAATACCACCAGCACATATATTTGCTCTCTGGAAGGCCAAAATGCAGATGTTGTTTTTTTAAAATGCTCCTCAACCCAAGATTCTTTGTTTAGCAGTTGGTATGCATAAGGTTGGCTTAATGTAGTTTGTATATTGTATCCTCAGAAGACATGCAAAGCAGGTGTAACCAACTATTGTTAGAGAATTCCAGAGTCACCTTGTAGGGGAGATGGGCAACACAAACATTTAATAAATAAAATTCTGGCTTAACATTATAAGCGAACACAGAATATGGTCAAATAAACAGGGGCTGTTACTCTAGAACAGGGATGGGGAACAATGGCCCTTTTATGACTTTGGAATTCTGGGAGTTGAAGTCCATAAGTCATAAAAGGGCCATCGTTCCCCACCCCTGCTTAGAGGGACCCAACCAGTTTTCTGCCATCTTAGACACTTGAATCAACTGGCATAGTTTACAACGCACCAAAAACAGACCGAATTTACTCACTTGATATGAAAGAATCTAGCTTATACAGTAATATTCTTTAAAGCCTTATTTTCAATATGTGTTCACTTACATTTTTGAATGTTGTGCCCCAGAGATTAACAGGGACAAAAATTAATCTCTGAAAAGTATAGATGAGACATCCCTATCCAGTGGTGGGATTCAAATATGTGAACAACCGGTTCTGTGTGGATGCTGCTTCCAGAAGTCCATTCTGGGCCTGGGAAACAAAAAATTAGCTACCAGTTGTGCCGAACTGGTGCGAACTGTCTGAATCCCACCACTGTCCCTACCCCACAAACTCTCAAGACTTATGGCAACTATGGAATGCTATGGATTTTCATCTACGGGATAAGAATATCAATAGCAGAACTATATACATACTAAGTTAGTGGTTATAAAAAAAGAAAGGTAACATGCAAAATAATGTCCCTGGCAACTGTTATACAGTATTCTTTTTCTCTCCATCCAAAGGAGATTGGATAACAACCAATTAATTAGTTGTCAATTAAAAAAAACTTCAATATATCTAGTACTACAAATAGGAAAGCAAATATTTTAAAAACTGTAATACCCTCCCCTCATTTTAAGAGCTGGAATAATGTGTTCCTCATTTTTATTTTTATTTTTTCTTCCTTTAAAAAAAGTTTCCACTAAAACTCTCTAATATATTCTGCTTTAGGATACTGCTCCTCCTGCTGCAGTCTCTGTGTTGCCTGTGTTGTCCTAGTTGCAGACAATGCCCTCTAAAAATTGTTGAAAAGGGCAGTTGAATGTACTAATCTGCAGCTATTTCTGCCTCTTTGTGTTGAGGGAGGGAGTGAAAATGTATACCATTATTTAGTCAAATCTCCAACTAAACTAAATCTCATCATGTCTTCATGGACAGCTCCTTGTTCTTTTGTTGGCAACTATATGGGATAGCTTGCATTGTCTGCTTTCAGGATGGTTTCATAAGCACCTGTCAGCTGGGATTACCTGGTTGTCTCCCATCCATGTATTATCCATACCCAAATCTTTTTTCAAGATCAGCCAAGATTGAGTAGGTACCACCCCTTGAGGAGAGATGGCCTGATAACAGTGGACCCGTGTTTCTCAAACTTGACAACTTTAAGACGTATGGACTTCCAGCCATTCTGGCCTTGGAATTCTAGGAGTTGAAGTCCAAAGCTGTCAAGTTTGAGAAACAGTGATGTGAACAATGATTCTTAAATACTATCAGAGGATTAGTAAGAAGATAACTGTCTTTATGTTGGAATTGTGGCTACCCAGAAAGGTACAATCTACATTGCTTTTTTTTTTACCAGCTTTGATATTTGTTTCTTCTATAGATATTGGTTTTTCCTAACATTAGTAAAAATCACTTTGGAAAAAGCCACAGCAGCATTTAAACATCTACAAACAGCAACATAGCATCTGTTGGAAATGTCTTACATTAAGAATTTCTTGAATGTTGTATATAAATTGTATTTGAAAACGCGCTTTGGAAATAGTTTGTACATTATTTCCTGATTTATACTTGATATTTAGTGTTAATATTTCTAACTGTTAATAACAAGATACCTTAACGTGTGGTGATTTTTATGTATTGATGTGAAAACGAGGCAATGCCAGCATTTTAACAGTTTCATTACTTGTACCATATTTTCTGTTTTGTAATACAGAATGTTAAAATACACTTTAGGTTCAAAAGACTGGATTGTGAAACCAAGCCATGGCACCTTTTCGTATGACAGAAACACTTTTAAAAGGACTGGTGTAACCATATTTAAAATCTGTTTTAGTTTTGTTTTTTGTTTTTTTTTTAAATTGCAGGTTTAATGAAAATGATACATAAACTACGTTCTATTTATAATCGGAAAATATTTCAAGTAAAGATCATTGCATGAGAAAAAAGGCATTAATGTCACTTTTCAAGATGTAAAATTGTAATTATCGAGGTCAGGCTTCACTCTTTCTGTTTTAAGCAAGAAATAACTGATCTGGAGCAGACAAATTTGCACTCCTAGAATTTTCAACATCTCTGCAAGGTGACAGGATTACTAGTCATATTTTGGGCGAAAGATAAAGTTCTTTGCAATGGAAGTTGGACAGCTATTTGGGATACTTTTATCTGATTCCTGTAGTGATCCCGGGGTTACACTTGATCTAAAGCAGTTTAAAACAAACAAACAGACAAAAACCTGGCAACTTTAAGATGTGTGGACTTCAACTCCCAAAATTCCCACTACTGCATGGGAGATTACAGGAGTTGAAGTCTACAAATCTTAAAAGTTGCAAGTTTGAAAAACACTAATCTGAAGGGCTCTTACCTAGCTTATTTAATTGATCTATTTCACATGTTGCCTTTAAGTATAAAAACTTTACAAAGGACTCACTGAAGAATGATCAAAATCAACCAAACAATGTGCCAGCGTAAAAAGCCTTAAGACAGCATCCAAAAGAAAGACTTGGAGCACATAAATGATTTGCAAGAGTGGCATCTCAGTGTTTTTTCAGCTTTGCCAACTTTTAAGGTGTGTGGACTTCAACGCCCAGAATGCCCCAGCCAGCAGGGAGAATTCTGGGAGTTCAAATCCACACTTTTAAAAGTAGCCATGGTTGAGAAAACTGGTTTAAGCAGGGTTGAGAGAGAAGGTCCTAGGCCATAGCTATAATGGGTTAATTGGGTGTTAATTAATTAAGTGCATAGTTATCCTCAATTTAAATATTTTTAGGCCTGTTTTCCTATAGACTACCTGGTCGTTGTATCTATTCATCTAGGACAGTGGTTCTCAACCTGTGGGTCGGGACCCCATTTGGGGTTGAACGACCATTTCACGGGGGTCACCAAACAAGGCTGTCCGCCATTTTTTCCCCCTTTTCTTTAGCTGTGCTACTCCCTCTTATTCTATTGGCTTTTGAAAGCCAATAGAATAGACTCTCTTGAATAGAGTCTAATTCTATTGGCTTTCAAAAGCCAATAGGAATTGTCCAGGCTGTCTCTGCCCTGCTGAGCCCGCCAAAAGTCCCATTCTGCAAACGGTGCTGCACCAGTTGAGTAGTCCTCGACTTACGACCGGTTGAGTAGGCCTCGACTTACGACCGGTTGGGAGTCGCAGCATTAAAAAGGTTGAGAACCACTGATCTAGGAGAACTGGAACCAGTTTGATGAGTATTGTGGTAGGCTTGAGAAACTGACCCACTTTTTCATACTAGCATCCTGGCAACCTATACCATTGTTCTTTTAAAGATCTATTATCTTAGTCCAGCCCAGTGTGGGAGGGATTGGTCTTTTTCAAATACCACCCCAGTTGATGAAGTCACTGAATGGGAAGCTAAGTGCGTTCTTGGCCACCCACACGTAAACAATAATTCACACAATTTTTCCCTCCAGCAGTTTCTCAGACAGGCCAGTGTGAAGTGGGAAAACAATACTTCTGATTTGCAACAACCACAAAAAGATGAAGATTGCCTTTGCCGTCGGCTGTGGGTGGTTTGAGAACAGTTTGGTCTAGTGGTTAAGGCACCAAGCTAGAAAGCAGGAGACTGGAAGTTCTAGTTCTACCTTAGGCATGAAAGCCAGTTGGGTGACTGTGAGTTCTAGTCCTGCCTTAGGCATGAAAGCCGACTGGGTGAGGCCAGTCACTGTGTCAACCCAATCCATCTCACAGAGCTGTTATTTTGGGGAAAATAGGAATAGAATAGAATAGAATAGAATAGAATAGAATAGAATAGAATAGAATAGAATAGAATAGAATAGAATAGAGCTGGAAGGGACCTTGGAGGTCTTCTAGTCCAGCCCCCTGCTCAAGCAGGAGAACCTATACCATCTCGGACAAGTGACTGTCTAGCCTCTTCTTAAAAACCTCTAGTGATGAAGCGCCCACAATTTCTGGGGATAAGCTGTTCCACTGGTTGATTGTCAAGAAATTTCTCCTTAATTCCAGGTTGCTTCTTTCTTTGATCAGTTTCCAACCATTGTTTCTCGTCCTTCCCTCTAGTGCTCTAGTGAACAACCTGACCTCTTCTGCCTTGTGGCAGCCCCTCAGATACTGGAACACTGCTATCATGTCTCCCCCATTTCTTCTTTTCTTTAGACTAGCCAGACTTAAGTCCCGCAGCTGTTCTTCGTATGTTTTAGCCTCCAGTCCAGGCCTTTGATCATCTTAGTTGCTCTTCTCTGAATTTTTTTCCAAACTCTCAACATCTTTTTTGTGATATAGTGACCAAAATTGGCTGCAGTATTCCAGGTGTGGTCTTACTAGGGCTTTGTAAAGCTTTGTAAAGCGGTGCTAGTACTTCATGTGATTTTGATTCTATGCCTCAAGTATTAGATATGTTTATCACCTTGAGTTGTTTATAAAAATAATAAAGGCAGAATATAAATTAAATATTAATAGGGCATATTTCCCCTGGATAAAATGCTTGCTTGCTGTCTTTGCATAGGGCCATCAGTGGTGGAAGCAAAGTCCACTCTCTTCTGGCACTGATATTACCTAAATGATATAAGGCATGGGTGTCAAACTGCTGGCCCGCAGGCCAGATGAGTCAAAGTGAAACCGCGCCCACCCCATTGCCAGCAATGGAAAAAAAAAGTCATGATACGTTACGACAGGTCACATGATGTTGTGAGTTTGACACCCCTGATATAAGGTCTCCTGCTTGAGCAGGGGGCTGGGTTGGAAGACCTCCAAGGTCCCTTCCAACTCTGTTATTCTGTTAAACCCTAGGTTAGTATGTTGTACAAATACAGCCCCTGAACTATAGAGGAAATTGGTGTTCACCTAACAGGAGAGTTTGGTGTACATGAAAGGATTTCTGGAAGTTGGTCCAAAGTATTTGCAGGCAATTCTGAAGAAGACGGTGGTTTGCCACCACTTTCTTCCAGGATTGGAGACCAATCCTGGAAGGATTTGGATGGGAGACCACTAAGATTTCCTAGTGGTCTCCCATCCAAATAGCTGCTACCTTTCTCACAGCCAGGTCACAGCAGCCTGCCACCTAGCTGGAACGTCAAATACTAATCCTCCCTCCCCCTCCCCCCAAAAACCAATTAAATGTACATAATGATGTATTTCTCAACTCTGGCATCTTTAAAATACGTGGACTCCAACTTCCAGAATTCAATGCTGCCTGGGGAATTCTGGGATTTGAAGTCCACATATCTTAAAAGTTGCCAAGGCTGTGAAACCCTGACATAATTCACAGGAAATGCTCAGTGTTTCCTTTGCTACTAAATTCTGCCAATCTCAGCGCAGCTTCTTTTCCTGAAACAAAGTAATTGGCCTCCGCCTTGACAAAGCTCCTCCTCACTTCTGGTAGTCCCACCCCGGGTGCTTTTCTTTTCCACTCACAACACCGCGCCTGCTTTTTTTTCCCCTCCAATCCCATTTCCCCAGAGAACCGTGGGAGGGGAAGAGAAAGAGAGGAGGAAAGGCAGCAGCCTCGTGCGACACCGCGCCTGCGCACGCGTAATACTCACTCCCTTTTCCCTCCTTCCTTGAGCACTTTGGGGTTGCGCTTGCGCAGGAAGATCCGGGCTCGCTAAAGGCAGCAGGTCAGATTCTTTTTCTGGCCGCCGCCTCGATGCGCAATTTTGACGTCACGGCGGGCGACGCCGAACACTGGAGCGGGCAAGATGGCTCCTCAGGAAACTGCTGCGTGTGAATGAAGCGGGAAAGCTTTCCTACCTTGACAGTCTCGTGTATACCCCGTCCCTTATTCTATGGAGGGGGGACGGGGACGAAACTGAGGCGCTAAAAGCAGAGGAGCTCCAGTAAGCCAAAGGAGAAGCGGGAGGGCAGGCTCCCGATCTTCATTGTGGGTGGCCAGGGTTCCCAGGCGATGGGAGAGGAGGCAGCGCGTGTGGAGAGTGAGAAGCTGTCAGATGCGGGCTTCTCCCTCTGCCTCGCTTCATTCCCTCTTTGAGGGGATTTGAGGCTTCCCAGGTTGATCATAGCAACATTGGCCTTCCTCAAGCTTTCTGAATTTCAGTCTTGCAATTCTGGGAGTTGAAATCCACTCACTTTAAAAGTTGCTGGGGTTGAGAAACACTGGTCTACCTTGTAGGGCTGTAAACATGGCTGAAATAATCTGTCCGAGGAACTTGGAGCCCTTCCATCCAGAAATAGTATGCACACGAAGGGGAGAAAGAAAAGGGATTTGCTTAACCATTCCACAAAGGGGAAGAATAAACCTGTTTCTTTTGAACCAACAAACTTCAAATTTGTCCATTTATCTTCATTTCTCAGTTGCAGCTTGTGTTGCTTGGCCCCACGTAGAAGTAACAATATTGGAGAAAATCTTTTGCTACTTCTGCAAGGCTTATGTATGCATGACATAAAGTTGATGCTACGCAGTTGTTTGAGCTGAAGGAAAAAGATTTTTTTAAAATGTATTTTACATATAACAGGCCTATTTACCTTTCTGTGTAAACCCACAACACTAATATTTTTGAGAACGCTCAAAAATCTGAGCTGAAAGTTTTTTGTTCTGAAAAGTTTTTTCTAATGCTTTTACAACCTCTGAAAATAAAAAAATGGAAGCAACTGATCTTTCTACTCATTTTTGTACCAGATGTGGTACAAAATATATATGCTCTTTGGCATATTTTACTTACCTTATTGTCCCATCTTTCCCCCCCCCCCCTTCTAGGCAAATATGCTACAAATAATGGTCAGAGCTTGTTTGGAAAGTCAGTGGAGGCCGGCTTATTCCCAAATACACAGTTGCTTACTGCAAAAGCACATTAAAAACTGGCACAGGAGCCTTAGCATAACAAACATACAATGTTCAAAACTGCGGAAAATCTGTAAAGGAAATATGTCTGAGAAGAAGCTGGTAAAGTAAACAAATGTTCAGATTAATTAAAATATGTAATTTGTATTTCTTTGTAAGTTTTTCTTAAGTACTTTTAAAGTCTCTTATTTCTCTTTCTGAAAGCACAAATTTATGACAAAATACAAAAATGATTAAATTAAGATTTAAGCATTTAGGTGACAATCCTGACACGTTTTCAATATCCTTTGCATGCAAATGATATTCTGTGTTTAAGGTGTAGAATTGCATAGACAGACATACATAAATACATTCTACTGAATTTGGGATTTTCCTTTGAATAAAGATGGTTATTGTATATATTTGTTGAATTTGCATTCTGTTCTTTTGTCTTTGGAACACAATATGTACATTGGTCTCAATTTTAATATTGCAGCGATATTATGAGATAATAAATAGTGTAATGGTGACTGACCTAAATTCATCCATCTGGCATTCACTTCATATCTTTTGATAGTATTCTATAATATCCTAGCTTTTGAATTCAAATATAAACACATGAAATGTAAAAAATCAGGCTTTCATTTTAAGTTTTATTAGTGCTGATTTTCTTGTAGCTAGATTGTATCATTGGTTAGTTTTATTTGGAATATCATAGGAGAGCTGTGTTAGTCTGTAATAGCCAAAAACCTGAAGAAATGCAGTAGCCCTTTTTACAACTTTTATTAAAAAGCATGCTTTTGTGAGCTGCAGCGTGCCGTTAGGCTTCTTCTGACAGTAAATGTAGACATCTCTTTTGAGTCCCAAGTTTATGGAAATGATTACTGAATAAATAAATCCCTCTTTCTCAGGAGAGAGGTCTCTTAGTGAATTTTGGTTTATCTGAGAGATTTCAAATTTTTGATTTTATAAATCCTTTTGGCAACAACAAACACACAAAAGACGTATTAAATAATATGTTACTGAATACTGCAGCAATTTTCAGTTTCACCGCTTGGTGATGCTATGCAAACTTGAGAAAGGATATATTTAAGAAAGTAGGAACTATCCCAGTTCAATATATAGCTGGCCATCTGTATTTTGTTCATGTGATAAGCCAGCATTCTTTTAAAAATCCAAAATATTTTTTCAGCATAGTTTGTCTAATTGTCATCTAACAAACAGCTCTTTTTTTTTTTGAAAAGGAATAAAGAATATCAGAAGTGATTCTTACATTGTAGCAAGGTAGAAGTGCTGAAAATGAAATCACCAACAAACTGATAGCTAAATGTCTATGGAAATTCTCAGTCATCCCAGGTCGTGGTTGTCCCAAAGGTGCTTTTTCAAGAGGCAACTGGGCTTTGTTTTTCTTTGAAGACGTTTTGCTTCTTGGATGAGAAGCGAAATGTCTTCAAAGAAAAACAAAAAAGTCCATTTGCCTCTTGAAAAATCACCTTTGGGGAAACTGATAGCTATTTTTTTCCCAATGATGTTGTTTGGGGGATTGCTAAATGTTTTTCTTGTAAGAAAGATAATATATTGGGCATTTTTTATTATACTATGGTCAGAGTTAGCTTTAGGCAGTTCTCATCTGGAGATATCTGGCATTAAACCTGAGATTAATGCCAAAATTTCAACTTCACTAAATTTTTCAACATTTGGTGGAAAATGTTTGTAGATGCACCCTTGTTTGGGATCACTGTCATCTTTTAGAAAATTTGTCTTCCTTTAAAAGACATATCATGGCTTGGATATATACACAGCCCAATTACCGTGCTTTGAAACTAAGGCTGTGCACATCCTTTTGAGGGATATTCCTAGGGAGATTGCGTTGGGGGAAAAAGCAAGCTGCACTCATGAATTCAGAAAAATGGAGGGTGGTGGTAGCTTGTATTCTTAACTGAATAATTGGTAGAATTCAGAAAAAAGACCAAACTATTTCTGGATTGCAGGCCACCGTGGTAGATTTCTTCCCCAACTTTAAATATTTTTAACAATATCGCAGTATTCATCACATCAATCCTTAAAATGAATCCTACATGTTTCCTCCAGAATTGAACATGAGTTATGTTTAGAAATGAAGGCTTTTGAAGCTTTAAACTTTACAAAAGATAAGCATTTCTGAATAATGTGTCTTCCCATTCCAGAGTCGTTATTTCGTGGATCATCGAAAGGTACGTGTGATAGGAGGGAAAGGAGGAGATGGTATTGCCTGTTTTCTCAGTGAACCTAGAAAAGAATTTGGAGGTCCCAATGGTGGAGATGGAGGAGATGGGGGACACGTTATATTTAAAGGTAAGAAGGTGATTATCTCTTGTACAGACCTGTTGTCAACGCTGCTAACATTGGATGTTCTTGCTTTGACAAAATACGAAGAGGCAGCCACTCTCTGTATAAGTTGTGTGGTACTTTTAGAGTGGACTTCAGCAAAGCTGGCTGAGGAATTCTGGGAGTTGAAGTCCACAAGTCTTAAAGTTGCCAAGGTTGAGAATCCCTGAATTAGATGATGCTGGGAGGGGAAGAGAAAGAATGTGTGTGGGGATTAGTTAAGATAAGGCTACAGAACGGAAGGGAAACTTTGCCCTTCAAACTGATTGGAGAATATGATTTATGACTGCAAATTAGAGGAGGGAAATATGCTTGAATATTATGTGCTCAGGGGAGGGGAATTCAGATCTTGGCACCTGTTTTAAGACAGTGTTACGAGGCGGAGAAGGAGGTGAATTGTCAGCAAGTTGAGTTTGTGTGACAAAGTTGATAAATGTTTTTGTGCCAAGAGAGCCTGCTGGAGGGGAATAAGGGCTTCCTATGCTCTTGATGCAGTGCTACTTCTGACATGTTACAGAACTGCAGTAGTCCCATCTGGCTGCTGTCTTAACTGCTGGCTCTTAGACACCTTGTTGCCAATGACCATGCCAAGTGAATGTTCAGTGTTTTCAAATCATGAATCCCTGACGCTTTTCTTCCTTTAATTAATTTAAACCCATTTAATAAATCATTTAAATTCCTTTAATAAATGTAAAATAAAAACAACAATTTGCAATTCTTCCTATTGAAGGATATTTTGTTTCTCGGGGCCTGTTCAACCTGCTTATTTTAGACTGCAGCCTCATTCTGTCAGCCTAGGGCAGTGGTGGCGAACCTATGGCACGAGTGCCAGATGCGGCACTTGGAGCCCTCTCTGTGGGCACACGTGCCATTGCCCCAGCCTTGCCTCCGCCCATGACCCCCTCCTCACCAGCAACCCCTCTGGAGGAGAGTCGCCCCCGAGCGTGGCCCACGCAGAGCAGCGCAGTCAAGGACATGGCAGCCAGGCAGCGTAGACAAGACTCTGCCCTCACGCCCCAATATGCACAGTTGATGCTGTGGGGCACGGGCAGAGGGCGTGGCTGCATGGCACTGCTGGGTTGCCTGGGCGACCTGCGGCGGGCCCTGGAGGTGGTGAGTGGCCCTGCGGGCAGGCAGGGTGGGGCGGAGTGGGGGCGGAGACGGGGCCAGTTTTTGGGCACTCGGTCTCTAAAAGGTTCACCATCACTGGCCTAGGGGCAGCGCGATTAAAGATGCTGTGCTTGTCAGCTGGAAAGCCAACAGCCTGGATTTGAAATCTGAGTGCCGCACAACAGGGTGAGCTCTTTGCCCCAGCTCCTGCCAGTGTAGCAGTTTGAAAACATGCAAATGCAAGTAGATAAATAGATACCACTTCAGTGGGAAAGGTTATTGCATTCCATACTTTTCAGGCTGGTCACATGATGATGGAAGCATCTCAGACAACGCAGGTGCCTTTAGCTGAGAATTAGAGATAAGCACTGCCCCTTTGAGTCAGTCATGACTGGACAGGGGAAATCTTTAAACAATTTCTGTCAGCCTGGATGTTGCCACACTTTTTTTTTTTTTTTGCCATGAGCAAACCCATCAGTCCCATTATCCTCCCATGTTTCTAGTCCAGTCCAGGGTTCTGGACTTTAAAGTGTCAAAGGATTTTCTCTCTAATAAGACTGGCAAGGGTTGGTGGAAAGACCTCAGGACTGCCTGACTCTCCCTGCTGTTCTCCTGTATGATTTCGGCTGTTGATGGAGAAAAAAGACTTCAAGTAAGGCTTGCCTTCACCCTTTATAAAAGATTTATAACCTGAGCCAAAAGTAGCCAAATAGGTCCGAGAAAAATGGGAGGCAAAAGAGGTGGACCATTTTGACAAAAAAAAAAAAAAAAACCAAGAAGGAAGGAGAAAAGAAAACACATAACTGGGTGGTGTAAATAATTTTCCTCCTAGCCTGACCAAATTAATTACCAAAAGATTACTGGCCTGAAAAGGCTTTCCAAAATCCTTTTGATTATCAAAATAATTTTGGAGACGGAGCTGATGAGTCATTAAAAAAAATATATGCCTATTGCTCTGACTAACCAAAGAGAAGAGTTTATTATTCTGGCGACATTTCCTTATGCAGGTAGGCTTTTGCTACCCCCCCACCACCACTGTTTTGCTAAGAAAATCAGCAATGAAAAGAGCAGCAATCAAGTGGGCTGCTTCCCAAATCTTAGGATTTGGTCCTTTGATGGCTTTATCAGTTTTACTAATTAGGGGAAATATTTCTTGCAATCAGTGTTTGTGAATTAGTGGTTCAGCCCACCCTGAAGCTAGGCTAAAAATTAACAGGAGGAGGAAATCAAGGAACATTAAGCACCATGCATGTCAGTGGACTCGGAACGTTGTTGTCATCAGCCATTTAGTTGTGTCCAACCCACATCCACTCTAGGGATCAGCACTCTCCACCCTCTTGTGTCACACAGCCTCCTTCAAATCTTCCATCTGCATCTCGAGTACAGGCAGGCATCAATTTTATACATTTTGAATGTATTGAATCAAAGATACCTCACTAAATCAAAGATACTTCCTTATAGGAACAAAATATTGTACTCTCCAAAGGCACCATAGTACACAAAACAATGCTTTAAGAGATGGAACGTAAGTGTTTTGATCTGTTTTGTTCCCGTTTTGTGACAGAGCATCTAATCTAAGAGCTTCTTTCAGAATACTCGTCTTGCTAAATTCAGCTAGTAAAACCAACATTCAGTTCCCAGGATTTTCTTAAGTGTGTTTGGTATAGAATCTTATGAAGATTTTATTTTATTTAGGTTCTTATGTCATCTGGCTGGGTGAAATTGGGCCGGTTATTCTCTCTCAGTTCACCTCGCCTCACAGAGTTGTTGTTGTGGGTAAAGTAGGAGGAACAAAAAGTATTAGGTATGATCACTGCCTTGGGCTACTTATGAAAATAATAAAGGCAGAATAAAAGTGATTTTATCTCTCTCTCTCTCTCTCTCTCTCTCTCTCTCTCTCTCTCTATGCTATCTATCTATCTATCTATCTATCTATCTATCTATCATCTGTCTCTATATCATCATAATCTATATCTATCTCTATATCATATCTATCATCTATCTATCTCTATCATCTATCTATCTATATCATCACAATCTATCATAATACCTATCTATATCATCATAATCTATATCTATCATCATAATATCTATCTCTGTCATCTATCTATCTCTATCATCTATCTACCTACTTACCTACCTATCTCTATATCATCATTATCTATCTATCTATCTATCTATCTATCTATCTATCTATCTATCTATCTATCAATCATCATCATATCTATCTATCTATTTCTATCATCTATCTATTTCTATCATCTATCTATCTACCTACCTACCTACCTACCTATCTATCTTGATGTAGCCTTACAATAAAGTAGAATCAGTTCATCATGTCACGTTTCCTGTCTGATTTATGTGGGAGGGCTGTCAACAACCTTGCAAGTTGCAGGCTCCTTCAAGATGCCCTCAATCTTCTGAGAGCATCTTGAAGGAGCCAATCTGAAGTGGTCATTCTGAATACGGACGTGAATCATATGTATAGATAGTCCTTGACTTCTGACCACAATTGAGCCCAAAATTTCTGTTGATAAGCAAGGCCATTATTAAGTGAGTTTTGCCCCATTTTACAACATTTCTATCATATCTGTTAAGCAAATTACTGCAGTTGTTAAGTGAATCATGTGGTCGTTGACTTTGCTTGTCGGAAGCCTTCTGGGAAGGGTACAAATGGCGATCCATGACCCTGGAAAAGGGCAGCTGTCATAAACAGGCGTTACTAGTTTTGCCTAAATTTTGATCACTTGACCATGGAGATGCTGCAGCGGTCGTAAGTGTTAAAATCGGTCATAAGCTACTTTTTTCAATGCTGTTATACTTTTGAATGGTCATTAAATAAATGGTTGTAAGTCAAGGACTCTCCGTACCAATAATTTGAATAGAAGTGCTTTCTGCTGACACAGTTCTTGGGGTCCAAATCGGAGAATGGGAATGTGAAATTCAAATATATATTTGTGCAAATAATTAAAAGCATGATCATATTTGGACTTCTAAAATAAAACGTGATGAATTAAAAAGGCGAGATAAAACATAGAGGAGGCCAGATTTTAAAAATCCAGTAATTCAAATAATAAAACTGCTTACAGTCAGTTCTGATTGGAATGACCTATAAGCCCTCTACATAAATATGTAAATAAATGAGGTAAAATAAAAGAAGACATCAAAGTATGTCTTAACGTATGTACTTTGTTTTAATTCCCACATAAAAAAGAATAAATGTTGAGAATTTAGCTGCTAAAACTATGGGATAATGAACTGTAATTATATTATTGTTGAAATGAATGAGAATTGATGGTGAATACAATAAAAATATGAATTGCAGTTTGTTACCTAAGTACAATAATTTAGAATAGAATAGAACTGGAAGGGACCAACTGGTTAATTGTCCTCACTGTTAAGAAATTTTTCCTTAATTCCAGGTTGTTTCTCTCTTTGATCAGTTTCCAACCATTGTTTCTTGTCCTGCCCTCTGCTGCTTTGGAGAATAATTTGACCCCCTCTTCTTTGTGGCAGCCCCTCAGATACTGGAATACTGCTATCATGTCACCCCTGTTTCTTCTTTTCTTTAGACTAGCCAAACCCAAGTCCTGCAGCCGTTCTTCGTATGTTTTAGTCTCCAGGCTTTTGATCATCTTAGCTGCTCTTCTCTGAATTTTTTCCAAAGTCCCAACATCTTTTTTATAATATGGTGACCAAAATTGGTTTCAGTATTGTATTCCAGGTGTGGTCTTATTAGGTTTTGTAAAGTGGTACTAATACTTTGCATAATCTTGATTCTATGCCTCTTTATGCTTTTTTGGCTGCTGCCACACAATACTGGCTCATAGTCAAGTGATCATCCACTAGGAATCCAAGGTCCCTCTCATAGTTACTGTTTTTGAGCCAGGTCTCACCTATTCTGTACTTATACTTATATTTCCCTGCCTAAATGTAAAACTTTGCTTTTCTCCACATTAAAGTTCATTTTGTTGGATAGAAGCCCATTGTTCAAGTTTGTCAAGATCTTTTTGGATCCTGAGCTTGTCTTCTGGGGTGTTGGCTATTTCTGCCAGTTTAGTGTCATCTGCAAATTTGATGAGTTCCCCTTCTATTCCCACATCTAAGTCATTTATGAAGATACTGAAGAGTACTGGGCCTAAGACAAAGCCTTGTGGAACCCCACTGCTTACTTCTCTCCATGCGATATTTAATATCTCCAATTAATATTTTGAAATTGTTGATCTTTGCAAAAGTTTATATGAGCAGTTTTGTCCTTTAGGCAAAAGAACAGTTCCTGTATCAGAAGGTAAGGAACAGATGGTATAATCAGCATTTGGTATAAAATAAAAACATAAGGCTTCACATTTGTGATGTGCTCTTATCCAGGAAAGAGTTTGTTAATTCATAATTAGTCAACACAGTTATTTTCTTTAAAAAAATTCATCTTTAGCATGTTGAATTGTAATATATTTTGTTTTTACAGTGGATCGGCAAGTCAAATCCTTGGCTTCCCTCTACCCATTTTATAGAGGCTACAGTGGGGAAAAGGGGGGAAGCAAAAACTGTTATGGATCAGCTGGCAGGCACCTGTATGTTAAGGTATGTTGTTGATACTTCTTTTTAGATGGTCAAAATGTTGAGTTTGTAAAGGCTGAATGGCTAATGTCCCACACTGGAAGACTGCTGAGCAACTCTTTGCTCACCAGTAGGAACAAACAGCCAAGGATTGTAAATTCTTAGCTGTATTTTACCTAAATTTATATTTATTTTGTAGGTACCTCTTGGTACCATAATTAAGGAAGGCCCTAACGTTGTAGCGGACCTCAACCATCACGGGGAAGAATACGTTGCAGCCTATGGTGGAACCGGGGGCAAAGGCAACCGTTTCTTTCTGGCAAATGACAACCGAGCACCAACAACTGTCACTTTAGGAGATCTGGGTCAAGAAAGATTCCTTCACTTGGAGCTCAAAACTATGGCCCATGCAGGGATGGTAAGTGTGCCTGTTTATTCTTCAGTATGATATTTAATGTTGAAGAAACAAACCTTCATGTTCAGTCCAGGAATGCTGGAACATGGGAGGTTTAAAAAATGCACTTCTTGGAATAGAATTGACAAAAACCTGATGACCCATAATTCATCTGCTTGTTGAATATTGCTTAAAATTCTTGGCTTAACAGTTTGTTGATCGGACTAACAACAGCTAATAACTTGGAAGTGGGAAGACGGGTGGCATTGCCTTGTTTTTCCATTACAGGTAGTCCTTGACTTATGACCATAACTGAGAGAAAGCTTTCTGCTGCTAAAGAAAAGTAATTAGGTTGCACCCCATTTTACAAGCATTTTTGCCACAGTTGTTAAGTGAATTACGTGATTGTTAAGAGACTCTGGCTTCCCCCATTGACTTTGCTTGCCAGAAGCTGGCTGGGAAAGTTATAGGTGGTGATCACATGACCTCAGGACATGGCAGCCTTCATAAATACATTCCCGTTGCCAAGCACCTGAATTTTGATCATGTGACCATGGGGATACTGCAAGGATCATAAGTATAAAAACCGGTCATAAGTCATTTTTTTTTTCAAGTGCTGTTGTAACTTCAAATGATCACTAAAAGAATGGTTGTGAATCGTTAATTGATGACTACCTGTGCTATTTTTTTCCAGTCTGTAATAAAGAGGGCTGAAGGGATGAAACTTCTAAATTTGTATTTATTTCAATGTATTGACTGAACTTAACATGGTTCACCTAGGTTAATTAGATCATGAAATCAAATCTAGTTAAAACAAGAAAAAAATACGAAATTTGCTAGATACATGTTCCATCTTGCCAGTAGAATTAAATGTAAGCGTGAAGGCAAAAGCTATCTCTGTTTCAAAGTGGTTTTTCTATTCCAGATAGGATTCCCCAATGCTGGGAAATCTTCCCTCTTGCGAGCAATCTCCAGGGCAAAACCCGCTGTGGCTCCCTACCCATTCACAACCCTGAATCCTCACGTAGGCATTGTTCACTACGAAGACTACGAGCAGATTGCAGGTATGCTTTTATATTTCCTTCTTATTTTTTTTTAATGACCTTCATGGTTTTATTTCCTTCTGGAAAAAAAAAATAAAAGCATTTTGCGACAGCAATATCATGTTGAAGTTTGTACTAAGCAGGGGAGAAAGCAAGCTTAACTGCAGATTACCCTTTTTCACGAACCAAGGCTTGAAAAGCATGAACCAACTTGGAAAAAAAATTGAAAGTGTTTTGATTGCCTCCTTGTATGTCAACTGCAAACTAATCAAGGGCATCCAGCTGCCTGACATTTCTCTAGGATTTCAAACAATGTTCTATGGAATTCTAGAGTTTTGGAAAACTTGGACGGGTTAGGAGACTAAAGGAAAAATGCTCAAGCCTACATAGACAATTTTCCATCATTACAGTTTTGCCTCTTGGTCAAGAATTCTAGGAGTCTTCTCCTCCTCCTCCTCCTCCTCCTCCTCCTCATTATTATTATCACTGCTATTATCATTATTATTATTCCTTTTTCCTCTTCTCCCCCTCCCCTTTTTTTCTGTTCCTTTTCCTTTTTCTGATTCCGTAGCCTGGAAAACAACTCTAGGAATCCAAATGCTGGTTTCCCCCCCCCCACCCCAGGCAATTTCCTTTTTTCTATCATTCCCCACAACCAGACTGTTACTGATGGTGTTACAGATTTCCTCGAGTTATGACCACCATTGAGCCCAAAAGTTATGTTGCTAAGTGAGTTTGCCCCATTTTACAACCTTTTTTGCCAGTTGTGAGGTGAATTGCTGCAGGCGTTAATAGTCTGGTTGTTAAGTGAACCTGGCTTTCCTATACTTTGCTTGTCAGAAGGTCGCAAAAGTGGATCACATGACCCTGAGACATTGCAACGGTCATAAATATGAACCAGTTGCCAAGCATCTGAATTTTGATCACGCGGCCCTGGGGATGCTGCAATGGTCATAAGTGTGAAAAACTGCCTTCTTCTTCTTCTTGTGCCATATCTGTTATCGGACGCTGGCGATCATGTTGGCGATACTGTTTTTATCAGCAGTTTCAAAAAAGTGCTGCTGAGTTTTGTCCAAACCAATCCCTTAGATTTTGAAGCCACAATGTTCTTCTTCTGCCTGGACCTTGTTTGCCTTCCATCTTTCCCTGGAGGATTAAATGGAGTATGCCATATTTTTCTGGGTGTCGCATCACGTGTCCGAAATATTCTAATTTTCGTTTTTTAATTGTTTTGATGATTTCCCTTGGCTTTCCCAGGTGGCTTATCACCACCTCATTTCTGATCTTGTCATCCCAGCTTACACGTAACAGCCGCCTGTAAATCCACATTTCAAATGCTTCTAGTCTCTTCTAGAGCAGGATAGAAAAAATATAGCATCTGAGAAAAACTGCCATAAGTCTCTTTTCAGTGCCGTTGTAATTTTGAACGGTCACTAAATGAACTGTTGTAAGTTGAGAGGACTACTTGCATTCTGTTTTGTCTTATTTTGCAGTTGTAGATATCCCTGGGATAATAAAAGGAGCCCACGAAGACCGAGGACTTGGCCTGGCCTTTCTGAGACATATTGAACGCTGCTGTTTTCTTCTCTTCGTGTTGGATCTCTCTGTGGCTGAGCCCTGGGCTCATTTGGAAGCCTTGAAGTATGAACTGGAACAGTATAAAGTTGGCTTGTCAAAGGTTCCTCATGCCATTGTTGCAAATAAGTTTGATCTTCCAGAATCCAAGAACCATTTGCCTCTCCTCAAGGAGAAAGTGAAGCAGAGGGTCATCCCACTCTCCGCTCTGACGGGAGAAAATCTGGAGGAACTGTTGGTGCATTTGAGAGAACTCTATGATGATTATCTGAAAACAGAAAAAGAACAGGCTCGCAAGCCATTGAAATGGTAGTTGGTAACAGAACTCTTCCATTATTGTTTTGAGATAGGAAGGACATTTGGAGTTTGGGCGTGGACAAGAGGGCCAGTCTCTAGAAGCAGAATAAAGCTGCTTTTTTATTATTATTATTCTTTAAGGTTATAAGGAGATACACAGAGCGCTACCAACAGAGTGCTCTAGAAGCAGATAAGAAGGAATGACCCATCTACACAAACAATAAATTAAGCAAGAGACGAGTCCACCAGGCTACAGAAAGTGAAATGTTCTTAAGCTTATTGAGACTTACAGGGCATAGTTTAATCAAAAGAACATTCAATGATTTAATAAAGGTATGTTTATTTATTATGACATTTCTGTACCACCAATTTCACATGGACTCTGGGCAGTTTACAAATTCTTACAACCATCAAATATAGCACCATCGGAGTTCCACTAGAACTGCACTCAAAGCCCATAATGATCCTTCCCATAGAACAGTGTAAATTAGGGGTGGGCAATTAATTTTCCCAAGGGGTTACACACAAAAACTGGGACTGTTATTATTTTCTAAGGAGAGGATAGGACTTTGAGTATCCTATATCTGGATGTCAGCATTGGATAAATCACTTCTCTTCGGGTCAGGCTATCCTGAACCTAACTGCCCTGAACCTGCTATCCTGAACCTAGGTGCCAACTTTGTATATGTGCCAACCAACACAATATTCATACACACTTGAAACTCAGAAATATACTAAGGCAGAAGCTTGTCCACCTCAAGGATAAAACACATTGAAAAACTGAGCAATGTGATATCCATCTGCATTTGAAAAATAAAGGTCACTTGAAGACAGCCAAGCCCACATTCTGGACAAAGAGGATCTCTGGTTTGAAAGAGAAGTCAAAGAGGCCATCTACATTAAGATTGAACAACCTTCTCTCAACAGAAAGGAGAGGGATATGACACCACCCGTCTCCTGTTTACAACACAGTTCAGCAGTTCCAAGAAGGCTCCACGCCCATTTGCATCATTCAGGTGACTGTAAAGGCACAGTTAAACCCCCAAGTGGCCTCAATGACCCTCAGAAAGATTGCTAACGACCAGATGGCTACAAGGAATATAAACCCATCCTCCACCATTCAGTCAGAACTGAAGAAGCTTCCTAGACGAGAAGCAAAATGTCTTCAAGTAAAAACAAAATCCAATTGCCTTTAGGAAAAGGGCCTTTGGGACTGGAGAATTTGTAAATGACCAAGAGTACAGTGGTTCACATAGTTGGGACACTGCATGAGGAGCCCACGTTTAAGACCTGACTACTGCTGCATAACAGGATGAGCTCCCGTCAATCACTCCAGCTCCTGCCGACCTAGCAATTTGAAAGCAAGTAATTGCAAGTGGATAAATAGGTTCCACCTTGGTGGGCACATTAACAGGGACATGAAAGGAGTCCCCTGGGCAATCGTGATGTCACTTGCTAATCCTTTCAATCCGAAAGCTCCTCATGCTTTTGACCTAAACATGAGCAAGTGATGACCAGCGCTTTGAATTAAATTCAGAAGCTTCTTGGCAACCAATGTAGCACCTGCAACACCGGTATTGTACCAGTGGTTCTTACCTGCCAGTGGGTTGCTACCTACATTATGCACCAATTGCATTTTTCATGGATGCTGCACTGCATGGGTTCAGTAGCAGTAGCACTTAGACATAAAAACTGCTTCACAGCGCTTTTTACAGCCTTCTCTGAGGGGTTTACAGAGTCAGCCTACTGCCCCCAACAATCTGGATCCACATTTTATCAACTTCAGAAGGATGGAAGGCCAAGTCAACCTTGAGCCAGTCAGGATCGAACTGCTGGCAGTCGGCAGAGTTAGCCTAGTCCAGGTGAAGCTAGTGGTGATGCGGACATAGGTACTGATGCTAAAGTTTTCTGCTACAGGTAGCTCAACAACTGGCACTTGCTATGGGGAAAGGTCCCGCCAGTGTTGGCTTCCGTCGGCCTATCTAGCAGTAACTGTAAGTGTAGACAGACATCAAAATGATGGAGTGGTTCCTTAGGGGGCATCCTGCTTTGTCTAAGCAGGGGTGTCAAAATGGCGGCCCGCAGGCTAGATGTGTCATGCACAGGCCATGGCCACCCCAGCTCCACAAAGGCAAAAAAATGTCGCAATATGTCACATGACATGATCGAGTTTGACACCCATGGGTCAATAAGCCAAGTAAAGAGACAGATGGTTTCTGGATAAACTACTTTTATCCAGTGATAACATTTAAGAGGATATCCTGTCGTGCAGGAAAGCATCTGGTATACAAGCAGGACCCCCAGATTCTCCCTACAGCTCAACCTAATAGGCACTCACAGTAATACGCCTTTGATCAGTGTCAAAATTTCTCTGAGGTAATTTTGCCACTCTTAATAGCTATGGAGCATATCTACAAAAAGATATTCACCCAGTGGAAAAGCAGAGGCAAAAGTCACTTTCTTGGTCAATAGTTGGGAGCAGAGTTGAAAAGTGTGATCGACTGATTTTAGGATTACCTTTTGAAAAGCAAAAAGCCCTCACACTGTGAGTTTAGTTGCTCAATTGTCTGTTAGAAGACAAGAAAATGATCTGCAATATGGAAGGAATAAAAGTGCTTTTTGCTATTCACTGGAGTGTTCCTTTATTGCGTAAGGCACATGTTTTTGTTGATTCTGCTTTCCTCCTTGATAGAAAATGTCAGAGTAGAAAGTTTGATTAATCATGATTAATTAAAATAGCAGGTGGAGAAAGTTGGCTGGCTCCCATACAATAATTTAATACCATGGTCCCAATTCTTATTAGTTTTTCCTAAGCCTGCTGTGAGCAACACTGGCAATTAATCCTGCTATTACATTATAAATTACTAATATCTTAATAGGACAATAGACCTATTTCTAAGGTTGGGTCACTCAGCAAGGTACACCAGGCTACAGGTAGTCTTCAATTCAACATATAGCCTGTGCATCACAGTTGTAAGTCATGACAGTTGTAAAGCAGATCATTGACATCCCCAACTCAATTTTACAACCATTTTTTTTTTTTGTGGCAGTTGTTCAGTGAACACTGCTCATAAAACAACCACTGCAGTTGTTGAGGGAACCGATTGTTCACTATGGACTGGTTTTGCTGATAACCAGAAGTAAATGCTGGTTTTTGTCAAAAACGTTGTAAAATGTCATGTGACCATGGGACGTTGCAAACAGCTGTAAATATGGGCCCGTTGTCAAGCACCCAAAATGCAGTCATGTGACTGGGAGTGGGTTGCTGTTCGAACTTCGGGACCTTGTAAGTACTTCTGGGGGAGATCATTCATAACTGAATGGTCATAAGTCAAGAAACTGTGTGGCCAGTCTAGAGAAAAGAAAGGCTAGAGGTGACATGACAGCAGTATTCCTGTATTTGAGGGGCTGCCACAAAGAAGAGGGGATCAAATTATTCTCCAAGGCCCCAGAAGGTAAGAAACAAAAAGATGGAAACTAATCCAGGAGAGAAGCAACCTGGAATTAAGGAGAAACTTCCTAACAATGAGGACAATTAACCAATGGAATCACCTGCCTTCAGACGTGGGTGCTCCATCACTGGAGATTTTTAAGAAGAGACTAGACAGCCACCTGTATGAAATGATATAGGGCAGTGATGGTGAACCTTTTAGACACGGAGTGCCCCCAAACTGTCCCTTCCCTCGCCTGCCCCCGCTCTGCCTGGCCACAGAGCCACCTACTGTCTCCACGGCCCACTGCAGCAGATCGCCCAGGCGGCCCTGTAGTGCCATGGCGGCCACACCCTCCGCCCGCACCCTGCAGCATCATCTGCACAACGGGACGCGAGAGCGGAGTCTTGTCCCTGTTGTCCGGCTGCCATGTCCTTGGCTATGCTGCTCCACGCGGGGCACACCTGGGGGTCACTGTCCTCCAGGGGTCCTGCTGATGAAGGGGCCGCAGGGGGAGGCAGGGCTGGGGCAATGGCACGTGTGCCCACAGAGAAGGCTCTGCGTGCTGCCTCTGGCACACGTGCCATAGGTTTGCCACCACTGATATAGGGTCTCCTGCTTGAGCAGAGGGCTGGACCAGAAACCTTGAAAGTCCCTTCTAGCTCTATTCCGATTAATTGAAGAAAATAATGTGATGTAGTTCAAAACTACTTTTACTATAGCATCTTTAGTAATAGGATCTTATGAGTCAGAATGTGCATTCCCCCCCCCTCCCATCTGTCTTGTTGAGAACTGGAAAGGGGCTTGTTTGAACCATTTTCACATGTTATATTCTTCCAGGCATAGGCAACCTTGGCTCTTTTATGTGGACTTCAACTTCCAGAATTCCTGAGCCAGCACACACTACTACGATCTTGAATCACACACTACTACGATCTTGTTATGTCTAACTAATTCCCATACACATTCTTCCCCCCCCCCCCAGTATCATCTAATTCTAACTCTAAGAGTAATACACAAGTTAAGGAAAATGGCTGCATTTCCATATGTTGTCAAAGCAAGAACATTCGATGTTAGCAGTGTTGACATACAGATCACTTGGAAGTGTCTGAATTTTGATCATTTGCTGCAACAGTTGTAAGTATGAAAAACAGTCATAAATCACTTTTTTGAGTGCCGTTGTAACTTCAAATGGTCACTAAAGAACGTAAGTCAAGGGCCACCTCTATATATAAAGGGTTATTGCGTAAATAGAACTTCTGAAGGCTTTGCCAAAATATGTTTGACTGAGTTTGAAGTTACTTCACGCAGATAATGGTAATGTTTTACATGCCAGATGGATTTTCCCCTCCCCTTGGAAATTATGAGGTGCTGCTGTTATAATACAAGAATCAGAATTTTGAGTCTTGTGTTAAGGATCAATGCAACAACCATTTTCGCCTCTCAAATCTAGGTTTGGTAACAGAATTTGTACAACTGGTCCTTGACTTATGACCAGTCCCTTAGTGACAGTTTGACACCCCCCCCCCCCGTAGCCATGTGATTAAACTTGGGGCACTCAGTAACTGGATGCATTTATAGCCATTAAGAGCCGTGGTGGCACAGTGATTAAAGTGCAGTATTGCAGGCTAATTCTGCCGACTGCCAGCAGTTCGATCCTGACCAGCTCAAGGTTGACCTAGCCTCTGAGGTCGGTGAAAATGAGGACCCGGATTGTTGGGGGCAAGAGGCTGAATCTGTAAATCGCTTAGAGTGGGTTGTAAAATACTATGAAGTGGTATATAAGTCTAAGTGCTATTGCTATGTCTAAGTGCTAAGTGCTATTGCTATTAACAATGTCCTGCAGACACATGACCGCAGTTTATGACAGTTTTGCCAAAACAGACATTTATTTCCAGTTTTCAGCAAAACTATACCCACA